CAACACTGGGCATGTGCGTGCCGGTATAAACAGTGGCTGACGAATCGGGGAAGGACACGTCATGACTGATGACACCCAATCATAGAGCCGAGCGTCAGCCTCTGCGTCATCATTTCTAAACTCCTCCATTTTGTCCCGTCTACACTAAAACGCCCTCCGGAAATTCAAAACACAAAACGGAGCTGCAGCGTTTCTAAATTTCTTGTTTTTTTTCTGTTTTAGTCTGGATGGGAGGTGCAAACGTAGCAAAAGGTCTTCGTTTTTAAATGAAAGCGCAGTAGTGTGGACGGGGCCTTAGAAAGAAGGATGGCCTGGACTTGGCATTCAAAACGTTTCTGGTTCAAAACATGAGTTATCACACCTATGACCTTGAGCAAAACCCTTAACTCCAGGTTGTTCCAGTGATATTCTAAGTGCTTTTGTCTGCTATATGACCACTACTGACATGGATATCTTCGCTTTTGAATCACTGTGGTTGGAACATTTTGGAATACTCAGCTACTGAACTACATTTGCATTTCCTAAAGGAACTGCCAGCACTTAAAAGAACAGCAAGCAAGAGAACATGACTGAACGGATTGGAGCAGGACATGTCAAAGAGATGGGCAGGGTTGTGATAAATGAGTCAAGATGATGATAACACTCCACTGTGTTGTCACGGAAGAGCAACTGACCAGCAGGAAGGGATGGAGAACGAGCCGAAAGTCAGTAGTCTTCAACTGGAGTTAGCCTGTGATTTGTAAAAAGTGAGGGCACTGAGGTCAGCATTGATGAGCCAACAGAGGATGAAAAATAAAGTGCGAGTGAAAGGGCCACAACAAGGGCACTTCTCTGGAGTGCAGAGTAGATGTGAGAGAAGAATGAACAATTAATGAAATCCCTCACCTTTTCCAATATGTGTAGGAGTGACCCTACTGTCTGTTCAGAGTCTGGGCTGACTAAGTGCTGATACATAGTTTCATGTCCTGTGTCGTGTTGGGATCTGTGAGAGCAGGAGCAGCTTGCACATACAGTATGTGCTCACATTTTCTCAATGTGTTTTTCAGAGCTGTAGGACTCACTCAACTAAATTAAATGAAGCCAATTCATTTTTTGCTGTGTAGCATCTGTTAGTAAATCCAGAACAGAAATGAGACTTATTGAGCTCCATGGCACGTATTATGAAAAAAGTACTTCAATTCTACTGTGGTATATGGTTTTGTATTGTAACTGTAAAAGCAGAAATGCATCTGGCAGCAGGTTTCCTTCTAGTTTGCACTAGTGTCTTTTCAGCAATGTGAGCTTGACCACATAGATTCACACTCTTTCTAGTGGGTGCATTTGAGGTTACCGGCCCATAATGCATCTGCTTATGATCATGCTAAAGTGTCATCATTGTATTGACTTGGTTACAGAAGTTATTTCACTCTAGCCAATAGCCATTGATAGAATTGAAAGAAACTTATTGATTTGACTTGATGTTTTTATTGTTTAAGGAACTTGGAAAGAGCTCCTGCAAACATACATAAACAGCTCCAGCTGGATTGGTATTTATGATACATTATAAAACACACAGTTCTGATTGGATGAGCCATGTTGCTATTGTAAAAGCTGATAAACATCTTGAACGTGTTACTGCACATTCAATATTAATGTGTACGTTTCTTGGCAGGCATGAACACCCAACAGCTAGACCAATGAACTCGTTTGTGGACATTTTGTCTGATTATTACACTACAGTTCAAAAGTATCAGGCCAGCTAGGTTTTTTTTTAAAGAAATTAATACTTTTGTTCAGCTAGGATGCGCAAAAGAAGCGCTAAAAACATTTATAATGACACAAAAGATTTCTATTCCAAATAAATCTGTTCTTTTAAACGTTATATTAATCAAAGAATCCGGAAAAGATTTATCATATTTTCATTAATAAAAAATTAAGCTGTGCAACTGATTTCAACATTCATAATAATGTTTTCTGAGCAACTAATCAGCACATCTAAATGATTTCTGAAGGATCACGTGACTGAAGAATAAAGTAATAATGCTGAAAATTCAGCTTTGCCATCACATGAATAAAATACATTTTTAAATAATTAATATATTAGACTATTATTGTATTATATTATAGAACAGTAACTGTTAGTTGGTTAAAAAAACAATATTGCACCATATTACTATATTTAGTATATTTTTACTCAAATGCAGGCTTGGTAAAACTTTAAAAAACATAAATTCTTACCTCAAACCTCAAAAATCACACAAATAATGGTTTTAAATTCTATTTTCACTGACCGTTTGCTGAAACAGAAATATAAATTGTATTATGGAAAGTTCCTTCTAACTGTAATTTTATTGGAATCTATTGTAATTAGTTTTAAACGATACAGTTGCTGGTCTAGAATGCTTTTGTTCATCAAAGGTTTATGCAGATCCAATCTCAGGACTCTTATACACCTGTTGATGTTTCGTTTAACCATTCATAGCAGTCAATTTAGTGTTCCTGCTTTCTGAATCTCTCTCTTTCCCTCTCTCCGAGAGTCCATGACATCATGGACTTGATCGCACAGTGAGAAAGCAGCACTTAGCCCAATTGGATTTTAGAGATGGTCACTGAACAACACATCATTTATTTATCTCTTCAGTAATGGGATAAAAAGAGAAATCGAGAGAGAGATTGCACAATGGGAGGAGTGTGAGTGGAAAGGAAAAAAGGTGGAAGGGGAGCCACTCAAAGCCATTTCTCTTTATCGAATCCTTTATCAGATCACAGCCATCAGTGGATTTGTGTTTATTCTACTTCAAACTTGATTTATAATGCAGTGGATAGATAACATGTGGAAGATGCAGCAAAATGCTAAAAACAAAATGTTTTATTACACATACTCAGTGCTTAATTTATGTGTGTTTATTTTCTCCACATAGCAGCAGTCGTTGTTTGGCCGTCTCTCACACTCAGCCATCAGATTAACAGTTCTGTAGGGACCCGAATATTAAATGTCCTGTATTAATTCTGTTAGGTAATAAAGACATCTGCTGCCATAAACCGAACACACACGCACATCACTCACAGCGGTCACCGTTCGTTCTTTCAGAGGGATGTTTATTAGGTAGTTTTTCTCAGAAAAGCTTTAAGCCACCCGTGATCCCACACCCACATGTATTTCAACAAATATGATGAAAATATCATCACTTCGTGTGTGTGTGTGGTTTGTACTGTGAATGCTAAGGCTGTGTGATGTTAGTGTGGTGGTGAAGTTTTTAGATTAATATTTGATCCTTTAAGATTGAGGCTGATGTCATTTCTGAGAATCATGCTTTGGGCTGTCGGAGAATTTGAAGATCCACATGCAGTTAGTGAAGGTATCCGACAGGAACATAGAAACATGAATACATAAACACCCTGGGACTAGGGTTGGGTATCGTTTGAATTTGAACGATTCTGATTCCGATTGCGATTCCTTGTTTCGATTCCGGTTCCTAACGATTCTCGATTCCGATTCTTTTAAGAGGCAGGGTCAAAAAAGTTTAGCTAACCTTGCTAACCAACGGCCTTTCTGAAGGAAATACTCCTTCTGTAAAAATACTCTTTTTATCACAAATTTTGCATTTTGCCAAGATTTCGTTATTTTTAGAAAAGTGAAGCCACACTTTGGATCGCCGACGTAAGGTACTCATGTTCGACTCGCGTGGTTATGCCAACACTTCCGGTAGACGCTTCTTCATTGGTGTTGTTCAGCGGTTTCTTCTTCCACTCGGCGGACTGTGAATATCGAAACTAGGAATCGAAATTTTAACTTTTGAACGATTCCGGGAAAAACGAAAAGTTAGTCTCGGTTCCAATCGATTCTCGATACCCAACCCTACCTGGGACATCTATAGTTTTTTTTCACTCTTTATTATATTTTGTAATATTTTTTTTTTTACAGGTTGAGGTCTGGCTCATTTTTAGATGAGTAGCACACACTGCATTGAGTTCATGGTTTAAATTCCTACTAGTGGATCACTGCTGCTGCAGATGACTGTGTGTTTGGTGGACATACACATTCTTTTCAACTATGGGTGTTGTCTGGCGTCATGCAGACAACTCTAGATAAGATGCTTTACATGGCCAACAGCCCTGCATTAGAAACCATGCATGTCCATGCTGACACATAGACAAGCATAGTACAAAACCCTCTTGGCTTATTCTGTCACATGATCAGGTCTCTACCATGAATGGTGGTGCGTAACATAATTGTTTATAGGCTGGGAAGACCTATGTATTCATGTTATGTATTTACACTGCATAAGCCGTTTGTTTGATTGCCCTGCAATAAAAAATCTTGAGAGGTTTCCCATAGAGGCTATGACTTTGTATCCTTTTAGAGATCGATACTTGTTATTTCAGGATGGCCAGTTATATTAATCTCAGACGCTTGGACATCTTTAGCTCATGCACATTGCAATCACCCAGAGTCATTTCCTATATTCTTGCTAATAATAGGGCAGAATGCTTGCTATTAATTACGTAACTTGCATTGACTGCATCACAAGCACTGTTTACACCTGGGATTGATATCCATCTCAGGGTGATTTGACCACATCGGTCATTTCTGGATAATGAAAGTGAACCAAATGACCAAAACATATGGCATTTTTCTGGAACATTTAAAAAAACTAGACTGGACATCTTTAGCTCATGCACTTTGCAATCGCCCAGAGTCATTTCCTATATTCTTGCTAATAATAGGGCAGAATGCTTGCTATTAATTACTTAACTTGCATTGACTGCATCACAAGCACTGTTTACGCCTGGGATTGATATCCATCTCAGGGTGATTTGACCACATTTCTGGATAATGAAAGTGAACCAAATGACCAAAAAACACCATTTAAAATCATATGGAGTTTTTTTTAGGAACATTTAAAAAACGAAACTTTTCAACAGTGTAAGTGGTTCTTCACTGATAATGTTTGAGTTCTGAGAGGTGTCCGAGGTTCAGGGGTTAAATGTGCTGAATTCTCTCTGTGTTTAATCCTCAGATCATCAGAAGCTGGAGAGAGAGGCTCGGATCTGCCGTCTGCTCAAACACCCCAACATAGGTGAGTCTCTCTCAACAACATGCGTGTGCTCAATATGCTCAATGCAGATTCGAGTCTAGCATGCAACATGTCCTGATCACATTCTTCCCTCAATAATCAAGGATAATAGTGGATGTACAGTGAGACATACTGTACAAACATGCTTCACAGTCAACACAAGATTATTTGCATGGAATGAGAAAGGATGTGGCTGACACGACAGATCACACAGACAAAATCTCCTGCTTATGCAAAATCATGGAAATGTCTCAGGCTTTGTCCCTTCAGGCTCACTTCAGTGTGTGTGAACAGCTGAGTGCTGTGGTAAGATGTTTCTGCATGGTGATAAAGGACACTGAGGTGTAGTCACCAGGTGCAAAAGAGAAAGTTAGAAAGTGTGTGAATTCAAAATCAAGCTTTTGTGGCATCTGAAGTTATGAAGACTTGAAAGAATACAACAGGATTAAAACAAAACGGTCGGAACTGTTTGAGAAAATATCCTTTAACCGTGATTAAATGACTCACACCAGACTTCTCTAACAGGGAATATTCACCCAGAAGTCTTACATGTAACTCAAAATGAGAGGTTAGATACAATGTTCAAGCCGCTCCTTTTTTATACCAAAGCAATTTAAAATCCAAAAAGGATAGAGAAGCCATATAAAATTAGACTATAAGACTTTGGCTATTCCAGGTTTTCTGAAGACATACTATATGTTTATATAAGGGGGACGATCTGAAATGTGTGTCATTGTTCATTGATAATCATTAGCAGCCACAATCGTCACTTGACGATAGCACTCGATTTTCTTCTTTCTAGGAATTGTCTCCCTTCCCACCCCTTATCTCATCGCTCCCCTTACGCATTTCTTTCTCCTGTATTCCCTCCCTTCCATTCCCAGTGGCCTAAATCTGTCTTTTGTACCCTTTACTGTTTAACCGCCTTAAATGGCCCTTTCTTTCTCTCTCGTTTTTCTTTTTTTTACTCTTTCTCCCTCTCACTCTCTCTCTCAAAGGATCAGATTGTCATGTTTTCAGCATGGACTGCCAGTAAACTCCTAACAAAAAGAGCAATCAAGTTTGTATATAAGAGAGAGAGAGAGAGAGAGCACATGGCCTATGGCAGCAAAGACTCAAACTAGTTCTTTTCCACTTCCTTTTTCTTGAAAAATAGATTGTACACATGCAGGGTAACTTACAGTCTTGAACTAGAGCCTTACTCTAGTTCAAGTCAAAAGTATTAGGGCAAGTTTTATTGCTCTAGTAGAGTACAAGAGCAATAACTAGCGTCAATCACTAACTCAAATTTCCTCTATCCACACCTCACTTCTCTCAGGCCAACCTGTTAAAATCTCTCTCCATTCACACAGTGTTCACAGCACCATGAGTCTGAATTGTGTTAAAACACAGCCCTCCTGTCAGAATGTGTGTGTTTGTGTCAGCGCCGCGGGTGATCCTGGGTGTATGTGGAGATAATATAATTCTGCTTTGTCCTCTCTGCCCTCCTCTAGCACAGCCACCTCTCACATGTCTGAGATTAATGCTCGCTGTCATTTACACAGACCCACACACAATGAGAGTGAGCCGAGGGGTCTCTTAATGCCTGCGTGTGTGAGATCTGGCAGGTGCACTGTTTCAAATCTGTAACTACCAATGACAAATTCATTACTTTCAATCAGGATAACAAATGTTCCTTGCCTTACTTGCAATGCCACCGTTCCCTCAGTAATGTGAACCTCAGTACCTCCTCTGACACGAATGATGTCAGCTGTGATTCTTTTTAATTTAAAGGGGTCATGAAGTCAGTGTTTCTTTTTTCACAGCTCGGTCTTATTGTGCACAATATATCAAAGGCACATTGCTTCAAAGAAAACAAATGTGATAGTGTTTGCCTTCTAATGTAACTTGTATCCTTTGAAGAGAAAACAATCCCATGATAATGCATTGCAACAAATACAAAAAAAAAAGAATAAAAATCCTAGATGTTGGCCGAGCATGAGAAAATGTTGTCTATAAACAATATAATTTATTTAGTTCTAAAATAGTTCAGTGTATTAAAAATGTTCAATTAAAATGTGATTAAGCCAAATTTAAATATATTTAATTTAGCCCAATATTTGTATGTCATATATCCTTATTAGTTTATCAGTCTCCCATGTCATTGTGGTTAATAAAAATGGGGTTTATTAACTTCTCCCCTCCAGACCTGTTGCTGTCTGTGTTTCCATTGCGGTCTGAAGCACCCTGAAGATTAGGCAAATTAGTCTGATGACGTAGGACTGCGCAATTTTACAGTTCAAGCTGGATTTTGTCCTCTGCATATAATCTTAATAAAGCCTGATCCTCGTCGTTGGTCCATTGGAACGTATTTTAAACTCCATTGTCGATTCGAATAGCAAACAACTGTTAATGCACGCACTGCAAAAGAATTTAAAAAATGAAAATGGTGGTTGAAATAAAATGCTGGATAGAGAAAACCAATCAAAATGCTGTGTGAACTCAAACCATCAGCAAGCCCCACCCCCGAAAGTTCCTGTACTACCTTGCGAGCAGGGAATTTTTTCCCGGAACTTCATTTAGACCCTGGTTCCTGTGGTCTAAACACACAGAGTACCACCCCAAATTCCCTTGTTCCTGTGGAAAGGAAAAAGGGGCATAATAGGTCTTATCTTGTAAAAATGTAATATGTAAATTGACCCTGGCCTTGTCCATACGGACACAAGTATTTTTAACCAGAGTGTTTCCTCTTGCGTTAAGAAATAAAAAAAAATTGCGTCCACACATGCTCGGTTTAAAAAAAAAAACGACATCTACATGAAAACGCAAAATTACGCTATCAAGCGCTGTCAATAGCATGCCAAAACCAGCAGGCGGTGATATAACCCTAACTGTAAAGCCACGTTGGCCAATCAGAAGCCTAACAAAAAGTTATTACCCGTTCCGGTAGGCGGATGATGGCGCACAATCTGACGTCAAACACAGCGAATAACAGCGTACACTCTGACGTCAAACATAGTGGATAACGGCGCACACTCTGACGTCGCAAGCCAAAACGTCGCACTCTGATGTCGCACCCCCGTTTTACTGTCTACACGACAACACTGTAACCGGCGTTTCGGAAAATCCTCACCTGGCAGGAGTTATCAAAAACACATGATACTGCGTTTCCATGTGGACGAACGGTCGATTCGCCTAAAAAAAAGTCACGGTTATAAAAATACCTGTGTCCGTGTGGACAAGGCTCGATTTCTGTTAATAAAATAATTTTGAAAAACAAGCTGCATTGTCATAATTACAACAATTACAGAAATACATAATATATCACGCCTTATATGGTATATAGCATTTGAATATTATGTTTTAGGTTGAGAACCACTGTCCTGTGCTGAGTTCTCTGGCATGTGGAGTTGCTCTCTGTGTGCACCGTTCCAAATGGGGCACTTACGATGCTGCCTTAGAAGGCATTAAGCAGCAAAGGTTGCGGTTTTGTAATTGAGTTAATGAGGATGACTTCATGGGCAGGTCAAGAAAAGGATAAAAGCTTGTTCTGTTCATACTATTCTCTCTATTCTCTCTACCTCAACAGTGCGTCTCCATGACAGTATCTCAGAAGAAGGCTTTCATTACCTGGTCTTTGACCTGTGAGTATCTGAGTCAGACACTCTGATCTTCCCTCTTACTTCTGCTGTTAAACAAGATTGATCCTTGATGAGGCCTGTATACTCACACTTTCCACTTCCTTTCAGCCCTGTTTTGCTGTAATTAACTGTTAATTAGAGGAAAATGTAATTGATGTATGACTATTAAACTCTTTTCTCCAGCCTGTAGGCCCATTTCTCTTTACCATAGAGCAGGGATGCACTGATATGGACATTTTGGCCGATATGGATATTTCTTTATATTTGAAAGCCAATAAACATAAATCCAAAAAGTATTGAGAGCCTGATTACAAAGTCAAGTCAAGTCAACTTTATTTATATAGCGCTTTTTACAATACAGATTGTACAGTATCAAAGCAGCTTTGAAAATAATACAACACAGATCAATAATATTGTTGAATATTAAATGTCCCCAACTAAGCAAGCCAAAAGCCAAGGCAACAGTGGCAAGGAACCAAAATTCCATCATGGACAGAATGGAGAAAAAAACCTTGGGAGAAACCAGGCTAAGTCGGGGGCCAGTTCTCCACTGGCCAACGAAGGAACAGTGTGTGGTTCGGGTAACATTAGAAGACAAATTGGATCGAAACATTAAGAGTATTTATCCATTTCCATCTGTTTGGATGTCAAAGTAATCACGCTGGTATGGAGACGAGTTGTTGAGGATCAGACCCTCGGGATAAACAGAGAGACTAATATTAGCGTAGACGCCATCCTTCTTAGGATGTACCAAGTACATCAGGATTTACGGGACGTGTTCCCGGTTCCAGATGATCTAAACTATGCAGCATAATTTTGAATTTAGGAAGTCTATAGTGTGTTATGTGTATGCTAGGCCAAAAATGTGTTTTTAGTCTAGATTTGAACTGACAGAGTGTGTCTGCTTCCCAGACAATGTTAGGAAGATTGTTCCAGAGTTTTGGTGCCTGCAGTCGATTTTGATATTCTAGGTATTATCAACTGTCCGGAATTCCGAGATTGCAATAGACGTCAAGGACTATAATGCGTTAAGAGCTCGCTCAAGAACTAGGGAGATAAACCATTTAGTGCTTTGTAAGTAATCCGCAATATTTTAAAATTTATACGATGTTTAATAGGTTTATGGTATGTATCCTAGCAACAAAGTCAAATGACAAAAAAGTCTCGACATTAAAAGCCATGTCACAAGCACACAATAATAATGTTCTCAGACTTGCACTGCACAAGTTGCACTTAAATATATTTTCCTTTTTGAAGTAATTCCAATCATATTTCAAGCAATTCAAAAGCATCATGGCAAAGAGTTCACGTCGGAAGTGTATCTGCTGAAAGAAACTATCTATTATTTATTGGCTTTAACATATCAGTTAAATTTTCTTACCAGGCCGATAACATTAAAAATTAACGTGTATATATATACATGTTGTGCATCCCTATGATATGGTCTAAAATACTTTGGTTTATTTCTGAACTCCCTTGCTTGAGTTATGTTTACATCGTGTTGAACGATTATTAGAGTCTGAAATGTTGAGGTATAGAGTCCTCTGTGTAACTCTGCATTGTGTGAGAGCGAGACATACGCGTCTTTAGATTGTAACTGTATGGCCCTCTCTCAGGGCTCTTGTGTCATTAAAACTCTGATAGCGCTAACCCAACACTTAAGTGCTGAACTACGGTGATAAAACTTCCCTCCATTAGCCACACACTCCTCTAGTGGCCTCATGCTCTTTATAGTTTTGAGTTCTCCTCCCTTGAGCTGTTGATAAAACCTGTATTTCTTCCTGTAGTGTGACTGGTGGAGAACTGTTTGAAGACATTGTCGCAAGAGAATATTACAGTGAAGCAGATGCAAGGTATGTTAAAAAATTCAGCTAAAACCATATCAGTGTTTATCTGTAATATTAGATTCTGTATATAAATACAATACTATTCAAAAAAGGTTGGGGGTCTGTTAAAGTATTTAATGTTTTTGAAACAAGTGCTCACCATGGCTGCATTTATTTAATTAAAAATAAATTATTTCAATTTAAAATTAATGCTTTAAGTAACTAATTTTATTTTAATATATTTTAAAATGTCATTTTTCCATGTGATGTCAAATTTTCAGCATGATTACTGTTACATGATCCTTCAAAAATCATTCTAATGTGCTGATTTGGTGCTCAAGAAACATTTCGTAAAACGTGTGCTGCTTAATATTTGTGTGGAAACACTGATTTTTTTTTCAGGGCAAGAAAGGAACGTTCATTAGAGCATAATACATTTTTTGCAACATTTTGAATGTTTTTAGTCTCTTTTGATCAATTAAATGTTTTCTTGTTGAATAAATGTATTAATATATATATATATAAATCGTATACTGTCCCCAAACTTTTGAATGGTTGTGTGTGTTCTATAGCAGTTATCTATAGTGATGTACGCATAGTACCATGGTATTACTGTCTGCAGTTGCTGCACCATGGCACCACCGCAGTACTTTACTGTAAGGCCTCAGTGAAGATATTCTGACTCTAATGCTGCCCTTTGGCCTCAGACAGTGAGACAATCATTAAATGCCAGGGCTATGCAACTGATTATTAAATGTGACATTTTTTATTCCAAATAATGTCAAGCTATGTAAATACTCTATGCTTTAACAGGGATTGAAGCTGGTCTGAAATGGGATGTTACTTTTAAACTGCTGCCTGAATAGGCATCTCCTTAAATTTAAGCTTCAGTCCATATCCACTTCATATTCAGCACCAAGCCGGAAGAACAAAATTAGTGTCACTTTCCAATTACTTTAAGGAGGCACTCTCCAGACTTGCAGTGTAAAGACTGCTTCTGAGAGTTTGCATCAAGGGAGAACAGAGCGAGTTTTTGCTGGAAAGTGCCTCCGTAATGGGATGGAATGGAATGCAGTCCACAGATTTTGCCAAATTTGGAAACAAGAAATGCCTTCCTCGCCATCCTTCCACAAGAGAGCTTTAGGGAATATCTAATGGGGCTCTTTCTTTCTGCAACGGCCATTGCTTTTCTTTCTGCAAGCTCTCTCTCTTTTTGTTTTACTTGAAAAAATACATTTCTGAATGATTTGGTTTAAGTATGCTTCCAAACAAACAAACATTTCCTCAGAGAGATGTCATCTCCTCCCAACCCTTCCTCTGTTCTCGGATCATGACCTTTTAAACAGGTTTCAGAGCTTTGTAATGAGCTGCTCCACTCTCTGCATTTATAAACATTCTTTCCAGCTCCACCGGTGCTTATTTATGTCGCCTCACTGTCTATAGAAGTCTTTCTTGAAATGTCTCTCTGCAGTGCTAGTCTGCCGGTTATAGAGAGTGTGAGAGACAAATTTTGATCAGAAATAAAATAAAGCGGTATTATTATAAACTGTAATATTATTACAATTTAAAGAAACTTGTAATAATTAAACAATTTCTATTTAAATATATTTTAAAAATGAAATTATTTGTGTGATGGCAAAGAGACATTGAGACTTTGACAATAGAAATATTTTGTAACATAATAAATGTATCTACTGTCAGTTTTGATCACTTTAATGTACCCTGAATTAAAAGTGTAGATTTCTGTATAGACCAAAAAACATTACTGACCTCAAACCTTTGAACGGATGTGTATAATGTTACAAAAGCCTTGTATTTCAGTTAAATGCTGTTCTTTTGAACTTTCTGTTCTTTTGAAATTCTTTTTTTGGCAAAAAAAAACTGTTTTCAACAATGATAATAATAATAAATGTTTCTTAAGCATATTTTAATGATTTCTGTAGGATCATGTGACACTGAAGACTGGAGTCAAATAGAAACAGTTATTTTAAATGTAAACTATAGTTAAACAATATTACTGTATTTGCTGTATTTATTCAGCTTCAGGAAAAATGTTTTGGCATTTGGATGACATGTTAAATGTATCTTCATTCCGATCCTGGAGCTACTCTGTCAGCTTTGACTTCCATAAAACAAATCAGAGTATTACCCTGTTTATACAAAGCTCGGTCTCTCTGCATAGGCCAGATTCTTCAGCTAGATTTCTTGTGCCTGATCTTCTATCTGGAGTTAGATCCATGTACTAATGCCTGGGTTTCTTTCCCTAATCTGTCCCTTCTCTCTCTCTCTTTCTCAGTCATTGCATCAATCAGATCCTGGAAAGCGTCTGCCACATCCACCAGCATGACATTGTGCACAGGGACCTCAAGGTGAGTCATGCCGCCAGCCTGGCAATGTGCCAAATCTGGATCTTGCGTCATCCAAACCCTCCTCCTCTTCCTCTTGGCAACACTGTGGCGTCATCCGCACACACTCAAACGTGCTTGTGACATTAAACACTGTGTGGCTGCTAACTTGTCCCTGGAGCACATGGATGGCCGTTTTTTTTTTGCCTGTTTGATTGTTATTGTGTTTCTTGACGTCAGAGAGTGGCCAGAATCCAGAGGGGCGATTTGATGACAAGCACAATGCAGAAAACAATCAAAGGGATGTTTAATAGAGGATGCCGGAGAGATTTGGTGCTTAAATGCCATTGTTCAGTCTGAACTTCACATTGGATTGAAATTAAACAATGCTTCCTTGCTTGTCAGAGGTTACAGTAATTTTTCTTTTGCATCTTCACATCTTCCTACAAGTAGATGTAGTAGAGTCTGTGTAGGTGGTGAAATCATGTGTGTTTGTGTGGAAGTGTTTTTTTTCTACAATAATGACTGATGAAAAACAGATCAGTGGCATGTGGTGGACAACAATGTCTCTAACCCCACCCCTCCAGAACCTCCAACTGAACCGGCCCTTTCCATATTAGCTCACCTCTTCAAAAGTAAAGACAGACAGAGGAGTGCTGAAGGAAGGTCGGTTGCTATGGAAACTTGCGTGATGTCATAGAGGCTGCAGAACCATGGCATGGTGGTGAGCGTGTGCGATAGGGACTCATTTTGCCGCCTCTAATTCATCAGAGCGAAATAGACTGTTGAACACAAGAGAATCTTACGACAGGGACGTAAGAACCGAACAGGGACAGTCGAGCAGCAGCTAGACTGAAGAAAAAATGGTTGTAACCGACATGGGGGCTGGTTTGGCTATATAGTAGAAAGAAAAAGTTCACAGATGATGTTATTGTTAATATAATATTGTTGAAACTATTTTTTTAATTAGTAATTTTTAAATAAAATAAGCGTTAGATTAAAAACATTAACTTAAACTAAAAAAAAAAATGTTGCTTTCCTTTCTTAACTAACTGATATAAATATGAATAACTAAAATGACTAAAACAGGAAAAAAATGTAATCGATTTTAACTGAAAAATTCTGAAAGTACATAAAGTACTAAAACAACTATAATTAAAATATAATAATAAAAGGTCATTGAAAATATTAATAAATGTTACATTGTACAGGGGTCAGCAACCTATGGCACATTAGCACGTGGCAATAGCTAAAGAAATGTAAGTCCCTCAAACTTGCATACAGGCTTACATTTTGAAGTAATCATTCCTCATAGTCACACAGCCTGTTTTATTAGGTACTATAAACTAATTAGGTACTTTATACTAATAAACTGAAATTTTAACCTGTGCTAGCTCACAGATCTGACAGACCATTCGCTTCAGTGGTTATCCTTCTATGTGCCATAAGGTTTCCAAATGCTGATATGGTATATAAATAATACTAAAATAAGAACATTTTTATTTGTTATTTGTATTTTTACAGTTATTTGTTATTTTACAGTTATTCCAACAAATGTAAGGTTGACATTCTATTTATTTAGAAACGTTGCAATTTATTTATTTAATTTATTTATCTATTATCTGCAATTCAGTGTTGATTGATTGCTTTTTTTATGTTGATACCAGTTTCAAGTGCTAAAAAATTATTCAAATATCTTTGAGCTCTTAGAAAAAAGATGATGAGGAGGAGGATGTGATGCCTAGCATTTCAAACTTTTGACCTTTAGACATTTTTTGGCTTGGCTTGGCTTATCAATATTCCTTAGTTTACATTATTGGGCATTCTAGTAAAGTAATCTTCTTCTGTCAGTATGATTTAAAGGGATAGTTCACTAAAAAATCTTTTATCATTTACTCACTGTTAAGTTGTTCCAAACCTGTGTGAAAAATCGACTTTTGCATTCAACAGAAGAAACTAAAGAATTTTGGCATTCAAACAGTTGACGCCGGTAGCAATTGACTTCCATACTTGGGAAAAAAAATACTAAGTCAATGGCTATTTTCAACTGTCTGGTTACCAACATTTTTTTCAGAATTTTGGCAATCATACAGTTGATGCCGGTAGCAATTGACTTCCATACTTGGGAAAAAAAATCAATGGCTATTTTCAACTGTCTGGTTACCAACATTCTTTAAAATATCTTCTTTTGCATTCAACAGAAGAAACTCATACAGGTTTGGAACAACTTAAGGGTGAACAATCCCTTTAATTAATATTTATTATAACAAGCCATCACCATGTCATGATGTCACAGAAAGTCTGTTGTGTGCAGCTCTCTATAAAACTTGTTCCGGCAGTTTTTGTAGGGTGGCTGCGCTGTGTCTGGGTCAGGGCTGTGTCTGCAGGGTGTGTGGGACAGCGGGGCGAGAGAGCAGCTCACCCCTGCTCTCGTAGCATGAGATAACAAGCCCTCCTCTCTGTCTTTTCATGAATTATGCAGCTCAGAGCAATGGGTGTGCTGTCATAACTATCGGTCCGCTTTACACACAGACACCAATAAGATAAAGACACCGCGTGCAGTCTCTCCCTTCTTTTCGCGCACATATACAAGCATGCACACTATTTCTGTCTCTCTGACTTGATTGCCTCTGTAGTTCGAGACCGGATCTCAGTATTCCTACAGTGTGGTGATGAAAGACTGTCCTCATAGAACATGCTGGATACGTTTATGTCCTTTAATGCAGATCACAGCTGATTAAACTCAGCCTCGGTATGTTTGATCATCACCCTTTATCTTTCTCATGCACAGAATAAGTAAGCAGCCATATGGGAGGGGATGCCTGTCGACTGCACAGCATTATAATTATTTTGGCTCACATTTAGTTTTTTCATACTGTACACTATAGGTTATTTCGATGAAATTGTGTAGAAAAGTAAAGGTGCTGAATGTTTGCAAGCCGAAAACAGTAATATCAACAGGAATCCAGCTGGTTGGGAATTTCTTGTGAGATTTCACCTCAGATTATTGGACCGGGTTCAAGTTGGTCATGCTGATTCACCACAATGTCCAATAGAAAGTAGATTGGTTTTAAAAAAGTGACTTCTGTTTGTTGTGCTTCACTCATTGACAGTGGCCTCAACTTAACTCTAGTTAACTTTTGGCCTCAAAAATGGCACACTACACCGGTAATAATCACAGCATTTGGAGGTTTTGGTGTTGATAAACCCATTTTATGTTCTCCTTTGCTCTTTCACATTCACTTATCTGTCTATTCTCTCATTTTTCACTATTCCTCCTTCCTTTTTTGTCTCCTATCCTTTTCTCTTTTATGTGTCCTCTTATAGCCAGAGAACCTGCTATTGGCCAGTAAGATGAAGGGGGCGGCTGTGAAGCTGGCTGATTTTGGCCTTGCCATCGAAGTGCAGGGAGATCAGCAGGCATGGTTCGGTAAGACTCCTTTGCTTTTCCTTAAACTCGTTGGTCACCTGATCTAAAGGGATTTGGCTTGAAGGCATTGTAGATCGTCTTGATGCGAGATTGAATTAAATTCGAGAGACCAAATTAATTTCACTGGTTTCTCATACATTAAAACATTCGCCGATTTTCAAGCAGTGTTTCCCTTATTGCTCGGTTTGCTCTCTATGGCATCTTTGGCTCTTGTGGGACTGGAGAACTCTGGAGAGCAGCCAGCTTGTGTTTTTATACTGTGCTCATGGGAAATATGGAGTTTAATGTTCTTTTTGAGTCAAGACTACTCACTTGAACCAAGTCAGAGGTCACAGACGACAAAGCCAGTGAACAAATTAAAAATAAGCTTTTCCAAAATTGTGGGAATTTCTTGTATGCTTTTTCTCATTATACAGCCTTTAAGAAATATCTATTTTTATGCACATCTCGAGCACATCTGCGCATCTTTTTTCACAAACTATTTTGTGTTTAATACAAGCTGAAATGTTGTTGAGTGAAATCAGTTCATTTTAGATATGTAAATCACAATATGTCCTTACAGGTTTTGCTGGCACCCCTGGATACCTCTCGCCTGAAGTCCTGAGAAAGGATCCATATGGCAAGCCAGTGGACATCTGGGCTTGTGGTAAGATTTTCACCAGTTTTATTTAAAGTGTCATTATAAAGCCTATTTTTTGTAGTGTCATGTATTTGTCCACTTTTATAAAATGGATAATCGGTGTACTAAATATGTGATTCAGTCTCTTTACTTTGGAAGAAGAGTGGATTAGTATTTAAATAGTAATGAATTTATGTGTTCTGGGCAGGTGTGATCTTGTACATCCTGCTGGTGGGTTACCCTCCTTTCTGGGATGAGGATCAGCACAAACTGTATCAACAGATCAAGGCTGGAGCCTATGACGTTAGTGAACACACACTGTTTCCCTCAATGCGTTCCCACTGCTTTATAATGTAATGACACTGTTTTAGATCTATTCAGGCCTGTTCCATTGAAGGAAACACATCCACCCCAATATTCAGATAGGTGGTTGACCAATATGACATTTCCAACGGATTTTAATATATACTTCAAAAATGTATTTGTGATGGCAAAGTTGAATTTTCAGCAGTCATTACTCCAGTGACATGATCCTTCAGAAATCATTCTAATATGCTGATTTGATGCTCAAGAAACATTTCTTATTTTATTAATGTAATGTCTTAATTATGTTAAAAACAGTTTTTATTAAATAGAAAGTCCAAATTTTGAGCAGCAAATGCAGCATTTGTTTAAAATACAAATATTGTGTTACAATGTAAAGGTCTTTTCGTTCCCTTTAGGTCAATTTAATACATCCTTGCTGAATAAAAGTATTAATTTCTTTCTAAAAACTTTTGAATAGTAGTGTACATGTGTGAAAGAAAAACTTGTTTTCACTTCACAAGTCTTTTTAAATTCCAAAACAAACCTATGGTTCTCCGGTTGTGTTTCTCCAACACCTACTTTTCACTCCAGGCAAAATTGCTCCACACTTCACTCATATTTGATCTAATTAAAGCGTCTCACGCTGCCCTTCCGAGGGGGAATAAAAAAATAAAACGTACAATGGATGCAGATTTTCACGTAGGCTTCATTCACTTTCATTCGGGCACCGAAAGTGAAAGTAGGAGAAGGGCAAACTCTGTTTACGTAGCTGCAGCGCTACACGCGGCCATTGAAGCAGTCGATTCTGTTCCCTACCGAAATTCTTGTTCCCTTTACGAAATCATACTACAAATCTTACGTAGTTGCCCAGTTACCATACGTACCATCAGAACTGAATACGAACAAAAAGCACAACTGAATGTACAGGAAGCCAAAAGGTAAAAAAAAAACGATTGTATTTTTTTTCCTGAAATCTAAACTTCCAATTTTAAAAAATAAATAAACAATAATGACCCTTTTTTTCTGGTCTGATCAACTGCCCCTCAAAATTCCTGTGCACATCCCTGGTGACTGTAACCCAGTTTAAGCGGCATTTGGCTCAATCAGTAACAGAAAGTGAATGGCCTTTCATTAGTCTTTTCTTGCCCATCAACTTGTTGACAGAGAAGCTCTCATGGCCGTCCTCATACCGAGATTCCAGTGCCACCTCATCGACCCAAGAGTGACGGGCCCAGATTGAAGCCTTTGTTAATATTTAATTGGTTGGGATAGAGAGCCAAGTTACTCAATAATAAATGATGGCAGCCCCCTCCTCTACAGCTCAGCAGTGGAACATACAACCGAGGAGTCTTCTTCATTATCATCTCCTCAAACCCCAAAGGAAAACAGTTTACAGTGGGATCTTTCCCATTAAAAGTATTCTATATAGCTTATATGAGGTTACAAAAGTCTTGCAGATAGCATCGTCATCGTGTCATATGTTTGTCTGTCAGTGCAGTGATCAGCTTTTTGTAAACAGTCCAGCATGATCAAAGTATGGATTCATTCTAATTTAATTTGTGCTTTCAAAATCCCTCTTAACTAGCCTCACTAAGTGCATGGGAGTATAGCATGCTTGTGTTTGTTACATAGTGGTGTTGTCCATTTGATGGAGTGCTGCAATGTGGCAGAGATGTGATTATGAAGGCCAGTTTTGATTTCAGTGTTTTCAGCCACCCAGGTGGAAAACAACTCTTCCAACCATCACTTTAGACACTCTGCTCTAATCTTATTAAAATCCATCACAGGCCATGGAAGCCATTGATCTGTGTGTTTGTCCATGTCAGTATACATTTCAGCTCTGTTTCATACCAAAGTCTGAGATAGTGAAAATGCTTCTGTTTTTCATTCTTTTTATGTGTAGTACAAATTTTAATTACTGTTTATATTATCAGTATTAGCAAAACTAGTTGATTGCAAAGTTGAATTAACATTGTAACATTTGTCGTCTTTTTGCATTGATGTCAGCAGTGCTCAAGCTTCATGAACTCAAGAAGTTTGTGTAAAACCTGATGATCGTGTTTTCCAGTATGATTTAAGATGATATAAAGAGCATCTTGAGCCTCAATGGAAGAACAATTGACCATCTGTACATGATCAATGTCACAAATTTACTTATGATTAGTGATCGTGAAATATTGACTTTTTTTAATACATTTATTTGTGTAGGGCTTTTCGCAATGCTTTTCCATTGGGCTTTAATGAACCATGAATCTACCATTATAAATAAATTAAAATATAAATAAACTATACCAGTGGTTCTCAACTGCTTTGGTCAATTGGACCCACATTTTCCCATTGTCATTACGCTGGGACCCAAATATTTATGAATTTGAACCAAGCTAATTTATTTCTCAAAAAGTGTTAGCCCTCCATGCCCACTTTACTTAACATACACCTAAATTGTAAGAATATCACTAACACTTATGAATAAACAGGATAAGGAAAGGCTATTAAAAAACTAGTTTTTGTTAATACAAAAAGGTATGAGCCACCACAGTCATCACAAATATGTAAAATAGCGCAAATAATTAAAATATTGTGGGATTTTTGGGTTAAGGTTATGGAAACTATAGTCACCATGGTAAATACACAATATCTGACATCCCAACCCTGCAAAACTAATTTCAGTTTTTAAATGAAACAAAACTCAGGTTTTCAGTGTAGACCTCACTATATCTCACCAAGAAAACTTGTTTTTTCATGTCTTAGTTTCCCTCTCCAGAGTGGGACACTGTTACCCCAGAGGCCAAAAACCTTATCAACCAGATGCTGACCATCAACCCAGCAAAGAGGATCACGGCTGACCAAGCAATCAAGCATCCATGGATCTGCGTAAGTGTCCTGGACTTAAACCCCAAGCACTTTTCGATATATCTTTCAGGGCTAGTTCGATTATATGCACCAACTGGCCTAATGTCAAAGAGCTTACAGTTCCAGTCTGCAATGAAATAAACATTTACTAGCCTGTTTGGTTGATGAAAAACTTTAAATGAGACTTTATATCCAATTTGTATTATATACAATCTGTCATAACACACTGTATCTGAATAAAAATTTGTCCTGAGGACTGTGACATCTTTCTCTCACACTTAGCAACGCTCCACTGTCGCCTCCATGATGCATCGCCAAGAAACCGTAGAGTGTCTGCGCAAGTTCAACGCCCGTAGAAAACTCAAGGTCTGAATCATTCTTTGCTAACACAATAAGGTTCTATTTTGTTAACATTATTTAATGCACTGGCTCACATGAATAAGTGCCATCATTACTGCTCTCTCCAAATCTATGATGGTTCTAGATAAGATACTAAAGTAGCACTTGTGTCTCCTGCAGGGGGCCATTTTGACCACCATGCTGGTGTCCAGGAACTTCTCAGGTGAATGCCTTTTAGCTTCTGAATTATGAATATGACTAGTGATCATACATTGAGAACAGTTTGTTACGTTTTTGTAGTTTCTTTCAAAACTTTGGTTTTATAATCTGGCCTTACTTTCCTGACTGCATAGAGGCATTTGGGCTTTGCTTTTGGTTGCTTTGTTATGAAACAAATTGGGTAAGTTTTTCTGTGTTCCTGGAGAGGCTGAGCTTCTGCCTTGAGTAAGCCTCTCCAAAACGACATGCTCTTTTGTCCAATAGTGGGTCGGCAGCACACCAGCCCCGCCACCCCCACCACCAGCACAGCTGCAATGGCACAGGAAGGTATGTGAGATGATGGGCACTAGGGGGCCGTTGCCCACTTTCAGCCTCAGCATGTGACAAAGGGGTGCCTGCTATACCCCTGCCAACGCACGGGCACTGAAACTCTTCTGAGAGGCCATTCTCTATGCAGAGAGAATACTTAAAACACGCTCCAGGGTTTGGGTCCGTTGACTGAATTTAGTTGATTCAATTGAAATCTTGCGTGACTGCATATCTTTTCAGTAATCAAATTTAAGTAAATTGATGCGTATAAACTTGTAATTCAGTCACTCCCAACCCTGAGACGCATTCGTAACCCTTTTTGCTTTGTGGCTTTTGACCAAAGTCTAGGATGAAGGTTCCCTTTCCTGTCAGAGGCGACCTTTGCCTTTAGTCTGCACTGAACATCTTTACACAAGTTCTGTGAATTTGTCAGAAGATGTTTTGTGTCATTTTCAGCGGGTTGGGATGGTAAGAAGAGTATCACAAAAACATGTATTATGTCTTCCAAATGGTGTCTCTCTGGAAACATAATGCATTAGGGGTTTGGGCTCTTGGTGATGGTCCAGGGATACTCCGGTGGAGGTATTTCGACCCGAGTCACCTTAAGCAACAGCATCATATTTAAGGTTTTCGTTACAGATTAAGTGGCCTTTATTTATGTTGATGGTTTCTTAAGGTGGCTCGTTCTCCTTGTATGCTATACCTCAGTCACAGTCAGGTCGGTTTTCGGTCAACCAGCTGCACTGGTATGAAATTGTGGGTAGATGCTGACATGCATTTGCCTGTTGTAAGAATGAATGTCTACATCATGTATGTATTAGAAATAGCATGGTTTTAAGGGAAGACTTACTGAGAGAAACCACTGTACTGAAGTCTTCACAGCAGAGATCGCTGTGTGGTGCTTATAAAGCACCTTTCAGCATGTTTTCGGGTGTCTTTGTGCATGGAGGATACGAAGCAACAGGGATCCACATGTCCTTCTGTCTTGCTTTTTGTTTGTTTCTTCGTTTTTTTTGCCCCTCTCTTCATGTATGTCTTAATGAAAGTAGCATATCTGAGAACGCTCTGCCAATTGCTTCTGTTGCTTTACAATGATACTTAAAGGTGCAGTATGCTATTTCTTGATGTAGTTGTGTAACTTTGTTGACATTCGATATCAACCCAAATAAACACACCCCTCCCTTCACTGCTTTGCCCCCAAAATGCACAAATATGCAATGCAAGAGTGATTCTGAATGCCAGGATCCACACCGGCACGGTGACTGACAGCCTCACAGTCTCCTCAAACATTGTGTTCATCCACACTATGCCGTGTCGAAGTACAACTAGCATTAAGTCGATAATTCCGCGAATGACTGCAATTGCAGATTTCGAACAGAGATGGCGACAAATTTGAGCAAATTTGTCTAATTTCAGCACACACAATTTATACTTGTACACTGTCATTTAAAATTTTGAGGTCAGTATTTTTTAAGAAGCCTTACATGTTCACTAATACTTAATTATTCGAAAGGTACTGTAAAAACAGAAATGTGAAATATGACTACAATTTAAAATAACTGTTTTCTATTTTAAAATGTAAAAGAATTTTCAGCATCATTATTCATTAGTCTTTAGTGTCACATGATCCTTTGCAGATTTTCTGCTTTAGAAACAGCTCTTATTATTAGCAATGTTGAAAACAGTTGTGCTTCTTCTTAATATATTTTTGGAAAATGTGATAATTTTTCTTTCACAAATAGAAATATTTTTTTTATTATTAGAAATCTTTTATAACTTATGAAAGTCTTTATTTAGCCTTTTAATCAATTTAATGCATTCTTCATCAAAAGTTTGAATTTCTTTGAATCTTACTGACCTGAAACTTTTGAACAGTATTGTGTACATGATCACTTACTTGGCCATCATCCACCCTGTTCTCTCTATATAAAAAAACCTCTTATCAGTCCACCGCTACCCTCTCATACTCATGCTAAATTAGTTTTTTATTAATTTCACACTATCAACAGGTGCAGCACACAAACTCATTTGATGCATTATACATTTTCAATTACGAGACCAGTTTAATTACGAGCACAACAGCTGAACAGATCAGAAAAAACGCCTTACCACCCAACCACTCAGTCCTCTTATGAATCAGCAGTTCAGCTGGAGGGAACTGAAGCAGACATAGGCATTGGTTTGTCAGATCTGCATGGAGTCGTGTGCAGGAGTGATGCCTTCAGTGATGACAGCAGGCCAGGCAGGAGATGGCTCTGCACAGCATGGACACAGCATGAACAAAAAATCCTCTAGTTTTGCTTTGAGTTGCTTGACTACTTTGTTTGCCACTGCTGTTTTTCTTTTTAATAATCCGTTGATTGATTTATCTTACCTTTTTCCCTTTTTGCATTCTTTCCTACCTCTATCTACTTTTGAAGGTAAGGGAATTTGAAGATCATACTTATGAGAAGTCTCCTCATATCCTTGTATTTTTATTTTTTTTGTGTCCACATATTTGTTGGCATTGTGTCTGATTTGATCTGTTTCACCTTTTAAACCACGTTTCTGTTTATGAGAACACAGGATAGGATGTGCTCATAGGAAGTGTTTAATACCAAACTGAGGTTGTCTTTAATGTTTCTTGGTGGAGAGAATCTTCTAGCCACTTTATATGATACCAGTGCTTTGGTGTTTGCTTGTGTCATGGGTCTAGGTGGCATTTTTGCTGCCTATATGGATGGTATTCCGTGTCATGTGGCATTGTTATTTATGTATTATTGTATTCATTCATATTTTGAATTGACATTTTATATATATATATTTTAAATTTAAGTTTTAGTCATTTTATGTGCTTTTGTCTTAAGTTTTTTGAAAAATAATTCTCTATAGTTTTTGTAATTTGATTTATGTAGTTTTAGGGGCCGTTGACACAACACCGTTTTTCAACAACAAAAAAAAATGTATGCGTTTTTGCAGATCATTTACACAACAACGGCATTTTGGGGCTTGAAAATGCAAACTTTTTAAAAGGGGTTTCAAAGTGCAAGTTTGTAAAAGTGATATCATTATAGTCTCTAAACTTCAAAAATGTGAATTTGTGAAAACAGTGAAGTATTACATGCTCATTTTATAGGCGGGGCACATAATTTATCTTTACTAAGTTGCCAACTACTGGCCTGACATGCATAATACAGCGTTTTTAATCGTTTACGCGGATCCATTTTGTCTGTACGCAAAAAAGATTTCATCTGTTTTTAGTACTGTACATTGTTGATGTGTTTACCGTGCCCTTGGTAATTTTAGTACTTAAACTTAATTATTTCATATTTAATTTAAATTTCTAGTTTAAGTTTATCTGAAAAAAAATTTATTTACAATTACCTAAAACAATTTTTAATATTTTTAGTCAAGAATAACTAAGTGTTTCATTTTTTTTCTCCTCTCATCTTTCAGCATGCAAGAGTTTACTGAACAAAAAGTCTGACGGCGTGAAGGTAAGCCCACACACATATTATGAACCTCTTTCTCATTAAGATCTTTAATCAGCATTGGCGTCATTAAATAAAATGTTTTTGTATCGTAAACCAATGCACAGTTCTTCCCCAGTTTTTATGTTTAAATGATGTTTCCTCCATATTTATTTTCCTTCTTTTAAGGGCATTTTATAAACCGAACTGACAGTCAAGCTCACCAGCAAATGGCTGGCATAATTCAAAGTTATTAAATACACTCTCTGTTTCTAATTTAAAATGATTAGCTCTTCATATGATATATTTTCAGTGTGTTAATATGCCACTGAGGAGGCCCAATCAAACCCATTCAGCACATTTAGATGGATATTTGGCCATTTCTTAGTCAGAGGCAGAGAGACTTTCTCAACCCTGTGCCATCTCTGTGCATGCAGTGAATCGCCAGCCTTTCACCAAGCAACTGTGAAACAACCGTTTCTCTAAATGATACAAGTCTTATCAAGTAAATCAATTTCAGCAGTTTTAACACTTTTTAACTGTTGCTACTAAACACCCCTGCCATGTCACACATGGCTTTGCAACTTCTTGTGGTTGTTTATTTTTCTCTTTTTCTTCTCTTTGAGATCTAACTAGCAGCTTTATTTTTTTTCTGTGTTCACTGGCCTGTTTTTCTATGCTTCCCTGTTTTGCCCTCCTCTGTTTCACTCCGTTCAGAAAAGGAAGTCAAGCTCCAGTGTTTATTTGATGGTGAGATCTGTTCCGTGTCTCTCCCCTTTTTCTGATTCTCCCTCAACACTTTCTCACTCTCTGGCTCTCTTTTTTTTCTTGGTTGAGATGCTCGAGAGTTTGTTTGGGTCTTTTTTTTTGTCTCATCGTAGGGTTTTGTGAGTCATGGGATCATCAAACATTAACAGAGTCATGATCACCCGTTCAGCTCTGTTTTATTACATACACACATTCCTGTTGGAATCCCATTCTCCTTGAAGTTCATTCTTCATTTCCATTGCATCTTGGTGCTTTCTTTGTAACTCAGAGAAGGGCTTTTGTCTAAGAGGTTTCTCCTCGACCTCTGCAAGCCCTTGATACACCCTGTGAGGTTCCTCCAGTTCGACTGTCTCTGCTTTCAAGTAGCCACTGATAATAACTAGGGCTAAGGTTTGCTTGGAGTGGACAAAGGGTGTGTCCAAGGGACTTACTTAGTGCTCTTCAATAGGAAAGAGAGAGTTTAAATGGTATTGGAACAGACAATGTTACAACACAGACAAACAAGCCTTTCTCTCAATGGAACTCCCCTTTTTCCCTCAGTCTATAGTTTGCCAGGTGATTTCTGTTGCCATGGCAATAGCTGCAGTGCCTGTGACATCGAGTTTGTCCAAAACGTTTTGTTTTTAATTTTTGCTTATGGTTTTAAAGAATGTTTAATTGACCATATCATGGATTTCCAATCCGTCAAGGGATTGATAGTAAATGAGAGCAGCAGCAGTTGATTTCTGTGAGTTAGACATGGCAGTTCTGTTTTAGACTGGTCACAGAGGGACATTTTTAATATCGAACAAACATCCTTCAGACGTTGTGCATAGATCCCCATTTTTCATGTCTTGAGTTTTTCCATCAAGTCCGAAACAAATGCACACTTTTCCTCAGTTTTACTCCTGCTCGTGGCTGTCATTGTCCCCATTATTGAGTAGAGCTTTTGAGTTTCCAGCCATGTCTTATATTTGGGAATATTTGGTCTTTAAATCTAACAATAAACTCAAATTTCAAATTTGTGATTTCAATTGTAGTCTTGGACACATGATTTGATCATTTTTAATGTCCTGAATGAAGTTCTAAAACATTTTTATTATAAATATTAGGGCTGTCAATTAAACTAACATGTTATTTTAACGTGCTAAAATAGCGAGTTAAAATTATTGCATTTAACCCTATAGTTCATCTTACTTTTCATACAGGTGAGTGGTGACAAACATGAAGCAGACCAACAACTCACTGAGTGATGAAGCCTATACAATGCATTTGGTAGGCCCCAAAAATTCAGGATATCAGGGCTAAAATTCCCCAGTACGAGTTTTTGTCTCATATTTATAAAATGAAATACTAAAGCAATATCACGAGTGCTTTTTTTGCCCCGAACGAGTGCAAATGTGATATTGATTTTATACAATAATTCAATATACAAGAAGTTAATATTTTGCTGTATTTTACTTTAATATTGTGCCATTTACTTACAGCCGTTTGAACGTACCAAAGGAATGACTCGATGACTTAATCATTTAGACATTAACTGCTACCAGTTTTAGTTTAGTTTATTTAGAGTTCCATTTAATTAAAAAATTAGTTTCCATATTAATGTAAAACCCATTAAAAAGGTTTACTTCATGCAAAAATGAAATTTGTCATCATTTGTTCACCCTCATAGCCATTGAACCCTAAAAGTTAGTGTAATAAATTCTATGTTGAATCAAATAAATAAATAAAAAATTCTAAAGCTGCTTTTTGTAATGACTATTTGATGCTTTTCTCGTTTAACACAATAATGACTTTAAATAGTCTATTGTAATTTGATGTGGGATTAATTAGTACATCGTGTAATTAATTTTTTTAAATAATCACTTGACAGCCCTAATACATACAGTAATATAATATTTTAATATGAATGTATTTATATATATTTTTTATATTAGCATAAAATATTACAATAAAATATGACATTAGTTTTAATTGTATTTCATTCTTCATAAGCATCTAAAACATGAATTGACAGAAAATGTACAGTTATTTTTCAGCGTTTTTCAGGGATGATATGGTCGGGTCACCTGCAAACTAGCTGCCTCTATCACTCCTGAAAAATGCCATCAATTAACTGAGACTGCATAAATAAAGCAGTTTCTTTAAAAATATATCTCTCCTTTCTCTTTATGGCTGTTTAATATTTGGGATGAACAACTTTTGGCTGCTGTTCTGCTTCAGTATTTTTGATCCGTGTGTAACCTGTTCTAATCTTTCTGTAAGGATTCTTGATCATTCTTCTCAAGAATCGGTTTTATTGCCGCTTCTCTTTTTTCTTTCCTATAGTCGGCCTTTGTTGTTTTTGAATCATTAGTTGTACCCTGAATTGATTTACAGAGTCTGAGGTTTGAGCATAAACTTACTCGCTGAAGCTTTTCACTGCATGCACTAGTGACCTATCAGGGTCCCTGATAACTCCTTGACAGTAACATTGGCCTTTAATTGTTACTGTGCCAGCAAAATAGCAAATTTAAATATTTCTGTAAATACCAAATACTTGATCTGTAGCCTTGAAACCTTTTTTTTTTTCAAAGGAATACCATTATAGTCTCTAGAATGTATTTATTTATTTATTTAATGTGTGTTTTTACCGTTGCATCCATCTTTATGGATATATTCAGATATGTACAAATTCTATTAGTATATTTATATGTTTAACAATGTCTCTCCATATGAAAGTTTGAAAGATGTTTACATGCACATATGCTGAATTTATTTTTATTAAATAAATGTCAACAAAATATACTTATTCTCTTTAAATGTACTTCTTTTCTGCAGTCATATTTTAGGATAATTGAACAGTTCCAAAACAACACTGCCGAATTATATATCAAGAACAAATCTCACAGTCTCTTTTTGTACAGCCCACCATGTTTAATCTTTGTTTCTATGAAGAACTGTGATGTGATTTTAGATATGGGAGGATTTATTTCAATATGTTTTAGGACTCTGCTCTAGTATTACCGACCATGAGTAGTTTGAATCTGTAATTCTATAACGTATCTCTCATAAAAACACGCATTTTAATAATTGACAGTGAAAACCTTTTTTTTTTTCCATCATTAAAAGTGCTCTTGGCCAATTTCTAAGCTAATTTACCCATACAGATCCTCTTTCATGCCTAGAATGAGCTGAGGTTGTCAGTTCTTGAACTACACTGAACAGAAATCAATAGGGCCAGAGCACCGATGGTGGAAGGACCTTTTTGGAATGGCTCTGTTTATTTTCTGTTGACATTGTTTTTTTGTTTTGCTTTTTTTGCCCCAGTCACAGACAAACAACAACAAAAACAGTGTAGTAAGCAGCAGCACCAAAGACAGCAGCATATCATCCACTGCACCAATGGTACCTCATCTTAACTTTTTATTTCCTTCATTCATAATCTTTCCTTTTCTTGATTCTTAAGTCTTTGTTTAGTAAAAGGCTTTATCAGTTTGTCCCATACCTGTTATTGACTTCCACCACTCATCGCTCAATCCACTCAGATGAAGATGTGACGTTACTCGTGATTTTTGATGAGTTGAACTAAAACATCTGGTTTGTGCCTGTGGATTTCTCTCTGACTTCCTATTTTACCCAAACAAACTCGCAGGAGAAGTTTGACAGCTTAGCAGACAACCCCTGTGCTTTTCTTTAAAAAAAAAAAAACGTTTCTTTTTGTTCAGTATCTAACCATATTAAAGTGAGTTAACATTTGCTTAGGTTTGTAATATGTAGATAATCCCTGGTTGAATCTTCTCTTAATCTCACAGTCGAGTCTCCAAGGGTAAAAAAGGATGATTGTATGTCAGGAAGCAGAGCTGCTCTGTTTGTTCTGAAGATGCAGTCCCTAACTTTTATTAGGGGTAATTGCTCGTTTACCCAGTTCACAGCCTTCAGAGGACATAGAGCTACTTCAGAGGTACTTCAGTTCTGTCAACAAACAAATTTGTCAACTGCACGCACACCCAGTCAACGAACAGTGGGGTCTAAAAGCTGAAGATCATTGTATCAGCAAGAAAATATGAAGGGAAAAAAAGGAATATAAAAAATGTATGAGTATTTAATTGATATGTAATGTTTTATTTAATTACGTATTATTTTCAGTAGTGTTTGCCCAGACATTGAAGTTTAGTTTTTTTCTCTTTCAGTAGTGTATCAAATGAAATTTGATGAACTGGTTCTCAGCACGTAGGGACTGCATCTTCAGGTGTGCGTTGACAGGTTGCTTGTTAGAGGGTATTGTGTTAGTGGTGGTGGAAATAAAGTAGGATCTAGTGCGCAAGACTGTTTGTTTATATGTGGGGTGTGTGTATGTGCAAAGGTGGGATCAGCGCTTTGTGTTTTCTGGAGAAATAACATACTGTGGCATTGAAAGATAACTGTTTGTGCAGTGTTAATCATTTCTGTTATGTCTGTGTGCTGTTGGTGACTGGGGTTGGTCTTGGAGAGAGACTTCTCAAGCCTATTGACCACTTTCTTTCCCACTGTCTCTCGGTGGTTAGAAGTACCCAATCTTTGCATGCATTTCCATTGAAGTTCTTTGTTTAATGTCTTTCTTTACAAAACATTATAGTTATTGTATACAGGGCCCTTCATGTAATTGGATACCTAACCCACACCTAAACACAATTTAATGTCATTGTGTTATATGTAGCATTTTTTTAAAATGGATAGTTTGCCTAAAAATAAAAATTCTATCATCATTTATTCACCCTTAAAGGGTTTGTTCACCCAAAAATGAAAATTAAGTCATTATTTACTCAACCCCATGCTGTACCAAACCCCGTTAAGAGCTTCGTTCATCTTCGGAGCACAAATGAAGTTATTTTTTATTAAATTTGCGAGGTGGATCACTGCTACATAGGCTGCCTAAGGGAATGAAACTTGACGGCCCGGAAAGTCAATTAAGAAAATGTTTAAATATTCCATGTGACAACAGTGGTTCAAGTATAAGTTTATCAAGCGACGAGAATACTTTTTGTGCGGAGAAAAAAATAAATAAATAATGACTTTATTCGACTATTCCTTTTCTTCCTTGTGGACCTGAGACGAGAGTTCAAGAGATTTCCACGATGCATGCGTGAGAACTGAACTGAAGTAGATCGCAATTCTCGCGCAGGCGTCCTGAAAGAAAGAACAGTCGAATAAAGTCGTTATTTTTGTTCGTTTTTTCGCACAAAAAGTCCGTCAAGCACAAAAAGTCTGTCAAGTTTCGATCCCTTAGGCAAACTATGTAGCAATGATCCAGCTCTCAAATTTAATCAAAAATATCTTCATTTGTGTTCCGAAGATGAACGAAGGTCTTACGGGGTTGGTACAGCATGGATTGAGTAATTAATGACTTAATTTTCATTTTTGGGTGAGTTCTTTGTTCTGCTGAACACAAAGGAAGATATTTTGAAGAATGTTTGTAGCCAAACAGTTGTGGGGCACCATTGACTTCCATAGTATGAAAAAAAAAAATACTATGGAAGTTGGGCCCTTTTGTATGCTCATTTTTAGCTTATGGTACAAACGCAGAAGTCTCCAACGCTCCTGACAGTTGTACAGTCCCGTCATGTTGTGGTTGTGGAGTCAGGGTCCCCTCACCCTCTTCCCTCTGCCCCGCATGGTAAACTCTCTCCTGCCTCCCCCAGGAATCACAGACCACTGTCGTGCACAATCCAGCCGATGGCATCAAGGTAAGCCACCTCTTTTAGCTCTGCCATTGAACACGGGTCATTAGAGCTACTTCCTAACCCACAAGCCCAAACTTCACAAATATCACTCAAGGGAATGGGTCTTGCCCTCATGCTTGGTTGGCTGGTTTGTGCAGGGCTCGGTGTGTTCCTGTCAGGGGTCTGTGTGTGTGAGGGTGTGCTGGGGTATGTCTGTGCTTGCGGGTGATTCTTTATGTGTGTGTGTTTGCTGGTTTACAGTGTGTGCACCATATATTGTTCCACATGGTTTATAGACCCTGTCTGCAAACCTGTTTCTGTAGTACTACTTTTTCGGGCTTCCCACCTTCATATAACCACCCCTCCATCTTGCATATTGTTTCTCTCTCTCTCTCTCTCTCATATCACAGGGGTCTACAGAGAGCTGTAACACCACAGAAGAGGAGGACATGAAAGATAAGAAAGGTACGCTATCAACTGCTCATGTACTTTGCATGTCTTTCTTTTGTTCTCTGGGATCTACAGAACAGGGTGTAAATATTTCTTAAACGCGTCATTAGAATCAGAGGCCATGTTTACACCTGATATTTAGATCTTAGATCTCTGATATTAGAAAGATGCTTCACAAAACATTTATTTCAAGATGGTTATTTGTCTATTTTGATTTAGAGTGTCAGTAGGAAAAATCCATTTTAGATTTCCAAACATTCCTTTTGCAAATATTGTTATTATGCAGTGAGATTTTTGTATGACTAAAGCAGTCAAACATCAGATGGTATATATGGTCCACACTGAGAACTCCGTATTGAGTTTGTCTGAGATTAGATAAAGAAACAGAACCACATGAGAAAATCTAAATTCTTTTCAAGAGTACTTAAAGGGATAGTTCACCCAAACGTGAAAATTTTCATCATTTACCAAACCAATCAAATGAGAAAACAACTCTTTTAGTATTATGTGAAAAGTATGAACACTGTAAAAAATATTGATGGTTTAACTTAAAAAAGTAAGTAACCTGGTTGCCTTAAAATTTTAAGTTCATTGAACTGGAAAAAGTGAGTTAATACAATGAAGGAGATTGATTTAACCATCAGAAACTCAAAATTATATGTTATCTGAACTAAATAAATTATTTAAGTTGATTTGACAAAAGAAAAAATGTTGATTACTACACTGTAAAAAAAATATTGTTGGTTTAACTTAAAAAAGTAAGTAACCTGGGTTGCCTTAAAATTTTAAGTTGATTGAACTGGAAAAAGTTAGTTAAAACAATGAAGTAGATTAATTTAACCATCGGAAACTCAAAATAATAAGTTATCTCAACTAAATAAATTATTATAAAGTTGATTTGACAAAAGAAAATATGTTGTGATATAACAAATCTTGAAAATATTTTTTACAGTGAATGAGACTGTACAAATTTGAATTTGCCACCAATTTAACAAAACAGAAAATATTTAAGGATTTCCTTTTATAACCCTCACATCATTTCAAGCTCATAAGACTTTCCTTTATCTTCTAAACACAAATAAATTGATTTTTAATGAAATTTTAGAAATTCCTGTCCCTCCATTGAAAATCCATTACATGAAAACTTAAGCTTAATTAAAAGTTTGTAAAGAGATGGTAAAAGAAATATATGAATCAAGAGGTTTAATCCAAGTCTTCTGAAAAGACATGATTGGTTAATATGATGAACAGATTTTATTTTTGTTTTTATTTACATATAACCATTGTTCAACACATATACATAGAGCACATCAAATATGAACCAATGATATCTGTCCCGTCAAGCTAGTACGGTTGTCATATTTGCATCGTTTTTTTATGTTTTGTTTTCTATATTACTACCTCTGAATGTGGTTTCAATGAAAAGATCACAAATTGCTTTGGACAGAAATTAATACCAGATGTGAATGGAGTCGAGGCTTGTATACTTTCCCAGTGTTAATCAAGGCCAGAGGGAATAAATATTATACATGTAGTGAGAGATTGAGTCAAGTCAAGTCAGGTATTGACAGTGAGATTGATTCCTGTGTGGTGAAAAGACCTTCATGGTATGATAATTGCTTTGATTGTGTTGACGGCCAGCTTGTCAGCTCTAGATGCATTGCTGTTCACTACAGCTTCAGCTATTGTGTAGTATAAAGGACCAAAACAGGGTCAGACTGACTGAATTGCTATCATGAATCAGCACAAGCTTTGCTATGAAAAGGAGCCATGCTGTGATTGCCTAAGTTACCATGACACTGATGAATCACAAAGTCTTGTGTTCTCATAATGAGTGTCCACAATATCTGAGGGAATATTCGTTTTACAGCAGTGACCTTTACTGGCAACAAATACTCCTTCTGAGAATTACTGAGTCTCCATATCACATCTCAGTATGTTGTCTAGAAGAGTCACATGGTGGTTCATTACCACAGCAATATTGCACAATGGGTTCAACTCAATTACATGTAATCATGGCACCATTCATCTTCTGATTGGCCTTTTGATCAATTCTGAGCTTCAATATTGCTTTTTGAGGGCTGTTAGATAATAAGATACCTTAATCATTTCTATTCAATCTGGGAAACACAAGCAGAGGTTTAATGAGTCAGTAGAGCTGTAGGATCATCCCTAGCTTGACACTAATCTAAGCTTGATGGTCAGGTACGCTCAAGAGTCAATATACTGAGATTTAATATATATATATATATCATATATATATATATATATGTGTGTGTGTGTGTGTGTGTGTGTGTGTGTGTGTATACACTACTGTTCAAAAGGTTGTTTTTAAAGAAATTAATACTTTTATTCAGCAAGGATGCATTCAATTGACAGTAAATATTACAAAAGATTTCTATTTTAAATAAATGCTGTTCTGTTTGAACTGTAAATATTTCTAAGAATCCTGAACAAACTAAACTATTTTCAGCATTGATACATTAGTCAACATATGCAGTGTATGACAACATATGAAATATGATTTGATCAAAGTTGTCCTAAGACAAGAACGGGTATTGTTCAAAATGCATGTATAACTTTGAAAGGTTTTGATCCACTTCAAATGTTGACTACTGTAATAAGAAGTGTTTCTTGAGCAGCAAATCAGCATATTAGAATGATTTCTGAAGGATCATGTGACACTGAAGACTGGAGTAATGATGCTGAAAATACAGCTTTGCTATCACAGGAATAAATTACATTTTAAAATATATTAAAGTAGGAAAATTTTATTTTATATTAAGTAAAAATCATAGTATTGTGAAACACTATTTTAAAAATGTAATCAATCAAATTAATCCGTCTTGTCATCATGATGTTTTACCTAGTTTCATCCCAAAGATATTTTATTTAAATAACCATTGCAGTTCTTCCAACAGTAAGTCTCTGATGGTTAAACCTTAGAAATGATCCACTTGCGTCATAGCAGAAAGGCCCAAAGATCTCACATTCTATTCCAGGGTGCAAAAATGTCCCCAACAGAGAAGTATTTTAGCTTTTTCTAAAACAAACTTTTAGAAAAAAATATTGCTTATTTCATGTTTGTTGTTTTCTACATAACATTACCTTTATATTATTTTCTGCTCTTAAGTTGCATGCACATTGTGTCTTATCATGAGTGTTTTTTTTTTTTTTTGTGTGTGTGTCATGTGTGCTGTATATATTTTTGGACAAGTATCTTGCAAATTGTGTCAGCACAAAAGGCAAGCTGGAAAAGGTTTGTGTCTTGTGGTATAACTTACCACAACAAATGTCACATTTTTTCCCTGAATTGTCTGTGTCAGTATCGGTGGGCGGGGCTAGCAATGACAGTGCAGTGGTCAGCCAATGCAGCGGCTCCGATGAGCCGGCTCCTCAGCCCGAGGCTTCTCCCCCCTGCCCACTACCCAGTAAGTCGACTGCTACAGCAGTGACCTTATCAGTGGTTCCTACAACTCCCTCTTGGACTCATCTGATCTCTACCTCACATTCTCTGCGTTTCTACTACTCCCACTGCTAATCTAGAGTATTTCACCTTTCTAAGCTTGTCATTATGTTCCTCTAATATATCTGGCTGAGATGGACTCACTGATGGACACCTACATTGTTAAATGCCCTAATCTTGTATCTTGGTGTCAATATGAAGGGTCATATCATACATTTTAATTTTATTATTGATTTATCATTATAGGCAGCAGTTTTATTGATTAAATGTGATGCATAAAAAGTTATTGAAATGATCCATTTGGTAAAAATAAACTTAAGAAACTCAGATGTCAGATGTTTTTTATATTGCTCGTCTTTCTGACTGTCTTAAAGTGTGATGTCAGAAATTTGTGGTTGTTTAGATTGAGTCATATTTACTGTTTATTTTCAGTAAATTCTATTTTTGTTGTGAGGAGTTGTTTTAAATGAAGTTTAAAGTTTAAAATGAATGCTATGGAGTGTTTTTGTAGTTGATCTCATTACATTATATTTACATTTAGTCATTTAGCAGACGCTTTTATCCAAAGCGACTTACATCTGAGGACTAAACCAAAACGAGTCATCTCAAAAGCTCAGGGAACATTTGATTCCTTATGATATGACCCCTTTAAGACAATAATATGGCATTTTTTTATGGCTTTCGTGAGTAATTGCAACAAAATGCACGCCACATGATCTACTGTACTCCGTACAGCAATCAAGGACTGAGATTGTCATTTACCTGATTTGGAGTCTCTCGCAGTCCACCATCTTTGCCCTTTTACTCATGTACGTCCTCACCTCTGACATGGAAAAAATTGCACTGACCTTCTCAGTCAGAGTGACCTTTTCATTTATTTATCTGTGACACTGAATACTTTGAGTGTGTGACAGATGAGCAGAGGGAACGTGCTGAGACCGTACACGCCAGACATCTCTCCACACATGCACACACTGTGCCTAGATCTACTCAGTATGGCCATTACTCCTCTTGTGTTCTTTATTTACTCATATTGCTTATGCCAGTTCAGTATACAGATTACTGCCAGCGTCATAACACAGGCCGTCTTGCCTATGCATCTCTGCTCTTTCTTGGCTGCATGTTGAGTTCAGTGACTTCTCAAACCACTGAAACAGACTGCCGCAGATCTTTGTTTAAAAAAGAGAGAGAGAAAAAACCCTTGAGATCTGCCACCATCTGCTGGACTGTTTAAACAAGCACTGCCAGCTCTCTGTTGCAGTTGCTTGAACATGCTCTAATCCTCTAAATCGTTTTCATACATACATATGTATCACATCTGCTATTGTGTATTTAATGTTCCTCATTTGTATTCAGTTATAATTTAATTACTGAATTTATTTCTGCAGTGTTTTCTGTGTGACGTACAGTGGTTTAAGCATGGTTTGCAGTAGTTTTATGTTTTATGAAGCATGCAATATAATCAGCGGTTCTCTGCCTTTATAAGACAATTCAGGTGTTTCTGCTGTATGAAAAAGCCAGCAAAAAACAGTATACAGTTATTACATCTTGATTTGTTTTTCTAGATTTTTAATTTAGATTAAGTGTTTGATTATTTTAACATAATAATAATGTATTCATTTATTTTTAATTCTTAATGCACTCACAATGACTTCAAAGTATTAAGTCAACCTGAATCCCCCCTGGAAATTTACTGTCCCTTGGTTGAGAACCACTGATTTAGATGAATTAGTGACTGTCTATGATTGGAATACTACTAACTAGTATTACACAGGCTACTATTTAACAAATAAAACTGGAAATAAAATACAATTAAATATAAAATGATTAATACTTGGTATAAAAATTGTCTCTTGCAGACATTTTGTGAAGAAATGGGTGGTAAAAATAAAAAATTCGTATCACAGTAGAAATTGAAGGTGAATCTGAGCTCATTTCATTGTGGGATGTAGTATTTCACGGTCATTTCTGTTTAATACTGCATGTTTTGTCAAGTGTAACTGTTCATTCAGCTTATGTGCACAGAATACACGCAGCTGTAGCAATAGTAGTATACTATTCTGAACACAGCCTGTCTCTGTTTAGTGCTCACTGTTTGTCAGGCTTTTGTTTTGCCGTGGCATAGTTGCAGTTTTGTTTATGTGTCCCCTTGTCTTGCAGCCGAACCACCACATGATGTTAAGCATGTTGCTTGGAGCAGTTCAGGTCAGAGCTCCTGTCCTGATTTAGAGCCTGCTGTACCTGCTCCAGCCTCCACAACACCAGGGGGCAGCAGCGTGCACAGGCAGCAGTGTAAGTCTTAGACTGCTGATTCAGTGACAGAGAATTTGGTGAATGGTGAATTTGATGTTTTCTAAATAGACATCCTGACATTCCCTCTGGTTTTACAAAAGTCCCTGCAATTCATCACACTATTACAGTCATCTAGCGAAACATATCCATCCGCAGGAATTATGAGCTCATGCGAGTGTGAACTGTTTGTTCTTTGTGTTTGGCTTATGGTTACTGAGCTGGTTGAAATCATAAGCGTTTAATAATCATTGAATACAAGTCATTGAAGACTTGTTAAAATCAGAGTGCTTGGGTAGATGCTGAAAGACAGTTTGCTGTTGAATCATGGGCTGAATGAGGTTTGTGGGGCAGGAGCATAACGCTGGTTTGCAGTTTTCAAATAATGGATGTGGCTAAACCTTGATTGTGTTCTTGTGTTTCCTCCTGTCTCTCCAAACACCAGTACGAAAGCAGGAGATCATTAAAATCACGGAGCAGCTGATTGAGGCCATCAACAACGGAGATTTTGAAGCTTACACGTAAGTACTGTTTGTATATCCTGTTTTCATATATCACTGATTAAACTTTGTGAGCATTTTATGGATTGATCATTTTTTTTAAATAAAATGCTAATGTTGTGCATATAGAAAATGGAATATGTTATATTTATTAATAAGAACAAACCCCATATTTAAGATTTAGCACTTTAATTGATATTGCTGGTAATTAAGAGAACATTTTGAAAATATGGTTTCATCAACACTTTTGGTGAATATCTAAAAAAAGCCCTAGTGTGTTTAAAACATGAATGAAACATTTTATAAAGTTAAGATCTTAAACCTGTTAAGATCACCAACCTTTTTATGTAAAATATGTTTAACTTTTGTAATATATTGCAAATGTGTGCATGTTAAATAAGAGTATGCCAATTTGCATATATATATATATATATATATATATATATATGAAGAGTTCGGATGCAAAAGCCTCTAAATGCCATTTGAAATTTTCTTCTAGAATGATCATTTTTATCAAGCTTGTATATTTAAGTTCAGTGATTTCACTTAAATGGCAATGATAATTACCTATTAATTGTTATTTAAGTGAAATTACTGAACTTAAATATACAAGTTTGATAAAAAATCATCATTAAAGAAGAAAATTTCAAATGGCATTTAGAGGCTTTTGCATCTGAACTCTTCATATATAAATATTATATATTATTTTTAAAAGGTAAAGTTAAACGAAAAAAATGTTGCTGTATTTTTGTCAATTGTTTTATGAGGATGAAAGGAAGGGAACTATTTTTTTTTTATTTTATAAAGGTAATTTCATTGACATACAGACTTGCAGGTATTGAGAGCACATAAAGCCCTGAAAAGTGTTTTGCATATTCATCTCTGTAACCTTTACTGTTCCAGGAGAATCTGTGACCCTGGCCTGACCTCTTTTGAGCCTGAGGCACTTGGAAACCTGGTCGAGGGAATGGACTTCCATAAGTTCTACTTTGAGAATTGTAGGCCTCTTGCTTTTTAAAGTGCAATAAAGCTGTTTAAGTTTGTCCTTGAGTTGAACGGTACCTTTGTCTACTGCCTGTGTTTGACTACAGTGCTGAGTAAGAACAGTAAGCCTGTGCACACAACCATCCTGAATCCTCACGTGCACCTGATCGGAGAGGACGCCGCCTGCATCGCTTATATCCGACTGACGCAGTACATGGACAGCCAGGGCCGGCCACGCAGCAGCCAGTCAGAGGAGACGCGTGTGTGGCACCGCAGAGATGCCAAGTGGCTCAACATCCACTTCCACTGCTCCGGAGCGCCTGCCGCACCTCTACAGTGAACCACACTGGGCAAAGGTACGTACTGATCGACAGACACCTTGGTGTCACAGCAAGTGAAATATTATTTAGTATTGTTCATACTGTCTCCCTTAGCATGCCTGAATATTAAAGCTGATTGGAGCATTTCTTCTCCGTGCACGTCTTGCCGCCTGGAGCCCGGCCAGAAGAGAACCTCTTGAAGTTTCGAAAAACGTGAGGGAAAAAATTTACACAACTAAGAAATCTATTTAAAAGTGGCCACCACTTTAGTCCAACTCTAGCTAGATGTGTGGCGGGCGGCCACGGCAGCAGCCCTGCCTTCTGGATGCTGCATGCTTCTAATGCCCACACGGGGCGCTGTATTGTCTGTAACCATAATCTCTGCTGCCCAACATTCGGAAATGGTGTTTAAAGTATTAATAATATATTGTAAAATACTGAGATCTTCACATGTGTAATTAAAAGCTGGTAGAGATGGAAGTTAGAACCAGAAATGTGAAATTTGTGAAGAGCACACGCCGTTTTAAGGGTAAACGGTGTGAGTTTATTACATTTCAGAAAACATTTTTTCTGTTATGTCCTCTTTTTTTACGCATAGAATGTGATGGCATGGCATATCAGGGGGAACGAAAAATCTTATTAGACGTTGACGCACCAAAGTGTTGACTCTTAGACTTTGGGAAGGGGATGTTTTAATGTTGCTTTTATTTTTTATTAAAAGGGGAGAATGGGGTTGGGGAAGATTTTCTTTCTGGCTTTCTGTCGTGTTTTCGTGGAACTCTTGGTTTTTAATCTCCTGAATGATGCTGTATTTGAAAGTATTTTGTGTTTTCAAGGCAAATTGGGGACAGGATTTAATATAGATGTGCATAAATAGATATTTATAACGAGAAAGGACAAGTGGTGTCTGGGGGAAAAGGGTGAGGAGATGTGTGTGTTTGTGTAAGTATAAATGTTCTTTCTTGGGTTCAAGATGCTCGTTGCTGTGTAGTGTTTTGCGTACCGGTAGATCTTCCCACACACTTCCACATGAGGCCTAAACTCAAGTTGGGTTGGTTTACTTGCCTTCATGTATGTTTGCACCCCTAACCACCTGGCTCTCTGAACCTGAAGTTGCAGAACTCTCACTTACTTTGATTCAAGTTTGTTATATGTCTCTTGGTCCCCAGGGGGCGCTAAACACTACACACAAACACGCTCACGGTTGCTCTGCTCACTCTTTTAGGCTTCCAGCTGCGTCGTGCATATCATTTTGTAGACTATAAGCATGTCAAAAAAGGGAATAAAATGAAATGGCCTGTACTGTTTTGCACACAAGCTTGAGACTATGCTGTTCTGTTCACTTTTTTTGTGGACTGCTTTGCAACTTCAGGTTATGAAATCCATCCATAGGGGTCCACGCTTTTGAAGAAGACCCAAACTGTCACACATCTCCCCTTTGTGAGTGTCTGTACACTTGTTTTGATTATGTCTCATCATCATATATAGTGACTTGTGTGGTTTTGGTAAAACAGTGATCACCTGAGCATCCACAGGCTGGTTATTGAATGAAAATGACTTGATGAATGCAGTTCCACGGTGTTTCGGGGTCCATTTTGTGGGAGAATCTGTTCTGGGGACATGGATTTTATTTGTATTGTATTTTTTAAGGTCTTGTTTTATTTTATTTGTATTTTTTCAGTGTAACCTGTAAATACTTATGCAGATCATTGATGAGGGATGATTCGATCTCTTAGCCAGTCGTCTTCATCCGACTTTCAGTAAAGTTGAAATGCGTAGTTAAAAAATGTCGGTTAAAGCACATGGACACATTGTGCTCCCTTTAAATTTGATCTGTGTGACCGTCATACATTGGAACACTGTTATTGTGTAGAATCCTGTGTGTGAATTGTGATGCCTAGGGGACTTGCCGTTCCCCCCTTTACTCTGTGCTAAGCCATTTCTTGTGACACATTGGGCAAATGTTGCACCCAAGTTTATATGTTGAAAAAAAAGGGAGGAAAGAGAGTACTCCTGCCCTACGGCATCTTGTTAGTGAGTTCACTTGTCCACAGATGAAACCGTCTGGCACTGTGATGTCTGCCATACCTTCATCCAGCGCTCTCTGCTGCAGTGTTTGTTCTAACTGTGTGATAAGTCCTAGTCTCTGCCTGGCCACTTCCTCCACTCAGTGTGTCCTCTCAAATATGAAAAAAGTGCAGTTTAGTCTGTTAAACTTCCATAAAAAAAAACGTAAATGGTTAAGAGTTGTTTCCAGATGCAGGAGATTATAGTTCTTGTATTTTTTATGACTGTTAGATGGACACAAACGCCTTTGTATGATAAGTGAATGATTCCTGAACTAAATAACTCTCACAACCAAACCATATATGCAGTTCAGCAGAAGGAAAATATGCATGTGTAACTTTCTTGTAATAATTTTCACTGTCTGTGTTGCCTAAATTTGAAATGTGTGTATATTACCTGCATCTTCAAGGTAAATGACATGTGGCTCTGAGATATGGTTTCCAATGCTAAAATGCTCAATTTTTTTTAAGAAATGGACTAAAAGAGATTAACAAAGCTTTAGCTTGGTATGTTGCCCCATTCTTGTCAGTTTTTTTGCATTGTAACCATATATGATGGGACTACATATGATTATACTCTGAGGTTTAATTGGATGCTGGATTTTTTTGCATGACCATACAATTAATAAAACTATGAATTTAAATCTATCAAGTGTTTGTTTGAATGTTGTTAAACCATCATAGCTTTGTTATTGTTGAAATATTTGGAAGCATTTAATAAAAGATAATCTCAACATCACTGTCTTACTGCTTGCAATTGAAGCTTACCTGGTTACATGAGGACAAGACAAAGTACTCAGGAAAGTGTCTGTGTTACGCAAGTTACTTAGGGCCCTCTTGCTCTCAAAGATAGTGTAAAGATGTCATTTAGTATAAATAAAAATGTTATATTATCCAATTGTGGATCAAACTTAAGAGGAGTCATGTGGACACATTTTACTTCATGATTTGTATGTATTTAATTAACATTTTGGACTAGTGTGGCAGGCAATAACATGACATGCATCTTAACATATGGCTATGGCTTGTTCATACCTCCAGATTCAGTATTGGTCTACTGTGTTTTGTTAAAAATGTCCCATGATGAAATTAAATTCAGTTTGCATCAGTACACATCAATAATCAAAACTTTTTTAGAAATAAACAGTGCTTTAAAAATGCCAATTGGGCTAAAGTTTGCATTCTGTGTTTAGAGAAACTATAAAATTATTTAGTTATGATCGTAAATCAAACATTTATTTCAGCTCTGTTCTACTTTTTCTGACAGCTACATGGTTCCAGTGCACAGTCACTTTCAAAAAGCATTTATAGAGCTGTCAACCAAAATTTGGATTCAGTGTACCCAAAAATGAACGTTGTAAGACCTCCCCATAAGACCTTTGTTTGTCTTCGGAACACAAATTAAGATATTTTTGATTAAATCTGGGAGCTGGCTCACTCCTGCATACTAGTCCATAGGCTTCTTGAGGGATTGAAACTTGCCGGCCTCGAAAAGTTATTAAAGACATTGTTAAAATACTCCAAGTGACTACAATGGCTCAGTCTTAACTTTATCAAGCGACGAGAACACTGTGCGCAAAAAACAAACAAAAATAAGAATTTATTTCAACTATTCACTTCCTTCTCTATGGGCCTCTAGTTAGCTTACGTAGTGTAATAGCGTAGAGGTACGTCACACGTAGGCTCACTATTGGCCGACGCTGGTCATGTGTGAAAAATCGTACTAACCCCCCAGACTTTTGAACCTTACTGAATTATCACTTGTGAATGTAATAAAATATCTTTTATGTCTAAAATGTATAGTGATTAAAGTCTTACTCATGTATGTGGAAATAAATTGTCACCAAGTCTTTTTTAATTTCCCACTGAGGTCAGGTATGTGCGTGTGTGTTTGTCTGAAGAAAGATTGATTGGCCAAGTGTCCCAGTTTGGCCGCCAAGAGAACAGGTCTGGTGTCAGTGTGTGTACAGATGCAATGATAAAACACACTGTTCCATGCCACAAAATTAGAAGGTCCTGATGTTATAATATAACCCTTAGAAAAGAATAACCACAAACTCAACTGACAGCAGTCAAATTCCTTGACCACCCTTTATAAAAAACAAAGGTTAGATTATAAGATGTTTTTCAGTGATAGTTTGTGTACATAAATACTTTATTTCAGTTTCAGACTCAAATCAACACGTTGCTATTCTAAAGTCGGTAAAAAGCTTGTCTGCTTAGCAAGAGAGGCAAAGGGCTATTTTTATATGAGCGATGTTTCCCCCCTCCCTTCACGCCAGCTCTGAGTGACAGCACAGCTGTGATGAACTAGTTCCTACCTTCATCCAACACGAGATTCCACTTCATAGGGAGACTGTGGGTATCTCTTCTCTTTCCCTCTCTATTTTAACTTCCTTTATGGCTGCGCCCCTATCTCCGGTTCAGGGTGTGGGAGGGGATCTGTGTGTATTCGTGTGACACACTCAGCTCAGGTGGGCTACTAGAAGGACATAGTTGCAGTAGTAGTTGTCTTCTCTGAGGGGGCCCTGTAATAACATGGACCGCACGAACTGAGGGCCCCCCAGGCCAACAAACTGAACCATAGACGCAAGCACAGACCGCACCATGGTGGCTGAGGAGGTTATCATCACCCTATCCGGAGGAGCACCATGGGGCTTCCGACTACAGGGAGGAATCGAGCACCAGAAGCCTCTACAGGTCGCCAAGGTAGGGAAACATCAGAATGAAATTAACTTAAAATGGGTGCACTAATACATCACTTTTAGGCCTGGTTTCACAGACAGGGCTTAGATAAAGTCAAGGTTAGTTAGTTCAATTAGGACATTTAAGTTGCTTTAATAAATGTGTTGTAGAAAACAAACGTTACTGGTGGTCATCTTGAGGCAAAACATTGACAGTGACATTTAATGTCAGTGCAAGTTGCTTTCAGTTAAAACAACTCAAACATGCATTTTAGTCTGGAAAGGCTGTGAAATGGGGGGTGGACGTAGGTCTGTCTACAATTATTCAGTTCTAATGAAACTTAAGATGTTTAAAGCAGCTTTAAGATGTAATGGACACCAGAAGCGCAGGCCCCTGCACTCCGAGTGTGGTGTGGAACTGATCCTTCACCAAAAAAGCTAAATGATTCAGAGCTGTGAACTTGCAAGTACTATCTGAACGGCAGACAAACTGTTTTAAGTCCTAAATAGAATGTGCACTAACTGTGATTAGCTGAAATATTTGATAGCAATTTATGACTCTAGCTCATGAGAAGCTACTGTTTCTATAGTACATGTATTAATCTTGTGATGTTGATTTCTGGTGTTGTTTTGTAATTGCTTATACATTGTAATGTAAGTGAATAAGGATGTTGAACTTTATACTCTCACACACGACTGTCATCGGCCTTTCAAGGTTTTCCGGTCATATTTAATAAAAATTTGCCCTAATTAAATCTAATTTGGTCCAACGCCACACCATGCTTGTCATCTCTCTCAAAAAATGGGTCTACTTTCTTCCAATTCCAGAAGAATTAGTTTGCTTTATAAAGGACACAATGTCATATAACGTATTTACAAAGTAGGCTAATCATGAAGCGGCTGTTCTGTTTGATGGTCATGTTGATGTCATAGATGTTTGTAATTGAATAAGAAATCATTTTAGAAATGATTTAGTATTTTAGTTTAATCTACCGAATAAATCATTCAGGCAAGGAGTAACAACAGTGCTAATGGACTATTTTCTGTATAATAGCCTAACGTTATCCGTTTATGGTAGTTTTATGTATCCATTAATCTGGTCTTTCATGAAGTATTGTTTTTTATTTGTATCTGCTTGTCATCAAACAGGAATTCGATTAAAATAATGGTATGGATGCAGTTTAGACAGGGCAGTTTACAGATCCAGTTCACCACTAGGTCCTGAACCTGTTACTCTGCATTTACAACCATTCCGAATCCAAACACAACAGGCAACAGGACAAGGATCCGAAATGGAAAACCAGATGACTGACCCTGACCCATATTCCATGTTGCTTTAGTCTGTTTTGCTCAATTAATGGTCAAAGGAGCAGACATACTATAAAATGTGCTGTTAAGCTGAGGTAGGCAATTTCAGAGACGCCAGTAATAGAAAGCTAACTTTGAAAGCATTACCATCCCTTCAGAGTGTCTCCAAAGCCCCGTTGCCTCCAAAACACATGATTGCGGACAGCCAGAGTAGAGTCTGCAAAGCATCACGAGAAACGTTGTTAATTTACCTCGAGTCTCAAAGCACTTAACATTACAATAATACCAAATGATAACAACTTAAACAGCTCTGACTTGTACTTGACTTGACTGCTGATGAAAGATTGAAAATGAAAGATTCATTTTGCCATTAATCGTAACGCAAAGGAGTCGGACATGCTCTGAATGTTTGCCATTGCTGAATTACTTAAATTATGACATGGCGTGAACACAGCATAAGCTCGTTGTTTTGGTTCAAAAGTAACTGTAAAAGGTGGTGCTGTTTGACGGACTGTCTGATCCAAAATCACCCTTTAAATCCTCAATCATTATTCCCTTCGTTAGTCCACTAAGTAGGGAATAATGATCAGTTCACTTGAAGTGAATTCGGACAGCCGAGTGTATTGGCCTATCGGCTGTACACTCGTTATTGCAGTGAAATGCGGGAAAAGAACGAGTGCACTCGATAGTTTTGGACACCAAATGGCTGTCCCCTCAAATAATGCCTATTTGAGGTTTTGAGAAGAATTCGTATTCAGCCTCTGTCTACAACTAGCCATAGACTCATGGAACACGCTGATAATGTGTGAGGTCTGCATGAGTCCGCGAAGATACATTTGTTGTTTGACATATCCTTGCATTTGGACCGAATATTTGAAAAAAAAAAAAAAAAAAAAAAAGAAGAAGAAAAAGAAAACATTTTTTGGACCCTGCGACTTCCACAGAAGGTACATTTTAAAATATTTAGACCACTTCTATTATAGATTGCTATCAGGATATGAAGAGCATTTCAACCAGTATTAAAACGGGTTTATGAAAAACATTGCCTATATTGATTCAGGAGCTTTCACAGTAGCCTATTAAAGTGCAGAGAATGTAAAATGTCATTAACACATCACACTGTTCATATTTAAAGTATAAATATAAGTATTTATAGATTGATTATTGCAGCTTCTGTAATACGTTCAACCTGTCACTGTGAACAACACCACTGAAATCAGAGCCTATCGTCCTGTGCTGAGTAAGATGACAGACAGGGCAGGAGTTGGAACAATGGCATTGAAGGTCCAATTGAGAAACAAAGCTAACTCACAGGCACATAGTTATGCCAGCATACTGTGTCTTTTTCTTTCTGATTTAGAGATCATTCATACTGTACATTTTAAGATAAAATTATCTGAGATTAAAAACAGTATTATGAACAATGTTGATCGTTTATTGCTGGCTCGGCTAATCTCACTTAGTAGCAGAGACATTTATTGATTGTTTAAGAACTATATTTTTTATTTCGAAATGTATTTTGCATAGCGTTCATGGGTGACATAATGGCTCAGTGTGTAGCATTGTTGCCTCACATCAAGATGGTCCTTGGTTCAAGTCCCGGCTGTGTCAGGAGGCCTTTCGATGTGGAGTTTGCATTACAATTCAATTCAAACACATGCAGGATAGGGGAATTGGAGACACTACTTATGAACTTTGTAAATGCATATGACCAAATTCATGTCACTCGTTGTGATTCCTTGCCAGGTCTACTTTTTAAAGATGGTAAGAATTTGAAATGTTATATCAATACTTAGTCGTTGCCTTTTCTATGTTAAATATCCAAGGTCAATTCAATTTCGACCTATTCATACATTATCAATTTACATTAATCCCGTAGGTGCGTAAGCGAAGTAAAGCGTGTCGGGCCGGACTACGTGAGGGAGATGAGCTGGTGTCCATCAATGAGAATTCCTGTGGGAGTCTGTCGCACGCAGAGGTCATGAACCTGATCGACTGCATGCCAGGAACGCTCCACATCCGAGTTAGGAGGTAAAACATCTTTTACTTTGCCAATGCTTATGTGTTTGTTTAACTCAAATGGGAGCTGAAAGTAAATGATTGTATTGACTGTATTTAGACCTCCAAGCCAGGGCTGCTGTGAGATATTGTTTCTGACCACCCCTGTGCTATTTTACCCCCTCACATGTCTATCAGGGCACCGGCTGGCTTCCAGTCGGTGGTTCTTGTTGCTCGAGCTCCTTCTCCCCGCATTGATAAAGAGTACCGTGCTGCCCTTAGGGCCATGTCACCATCCAGCTCCCGACCTCACCAGTCCAGTGTGCGGCAGATACACTGTGAACCCCTGATGTCCCAGACCGGACGCAGTGGACTGACCTCCCCGCCGTGCAGTGAAGCCTACTACGGAGAAACAGACAGCGATGCAGACGTGGCTGCTCATGAGAGGCAACGCAAACCAAAGCGACGCAGTCCCAGCAATTCACCCGGCAAGGCTGCTCGAGCCTCACCAGAGGGAGCAGAGACTTCAGAAATGAGTGGGTATGACAGTGCCTCGGATGCCCAAATGTACAATCTTTTGGGGCCTAATAAGAGGGAAGATGCATTGCCTGGTGTAGCCCGCAGAGAAGTGATTTACCAGCCCCCTCCCCATGGAGCCTGGTCCTCGCAGACCTCAACGGAGACCTCATCCATGAGTGCGGATGACCAAAACCCACGAGAAGCGCTAATGGAAGAAGACAGTGGGTTTCAGGAGCCCTCAAACCTTCCCCCTCTGGTTTCTCGAGAAAGAGCCAAAGAAGCTCTTATGCTGAGCTCTCGTAGTCAGTTGGTTCCCATGGTTGGTCCAGTTGACAATCCAGTGGATGAGGAACTCACGTTAACATACATGGATAAAGCAAAACAAGCAAGTGAGTATAATGAGAGTATTGCTCTTGTGATTGGCTTACTGCCATGAACACTGCTCTGTAAATATGTTCTTAAAGTCACAGTTTGTGGTTGCCTGCATGTAAACCTTTGAAGAGAAAAGGGTTGATCATACTGAGTAGCCCCCACAAGTGTCTATATTTGTCCTGAGGCTCGCAAGATTGATAACCTGAGCACTGCTTTGCATGAGCTGGCAGAAGCATCTCCAGCTGCTAGCTTATATCAGGTGACAGTGCGCCTCACAGGCCTCGTACTCTTCACCTATATTCTCAGCTGAAATACTTGACAGTATTGTTAGTATTCTCAGTATTGTTTTCAGACATGAACAGCCAGAATTTGACTGGAAAGGAATTTAGAGTCATTTAAATGTAATCCGTCACAAATTAGCACACTTTAGAAGACAGGTTAGTGTCCATAAAATGAGGTACGCACCATTAGTTACACAGGTTTTACATTCCAGTGCCTGGACACTAGTAATGCAGTGTACATGCACTGGTATGACACTGATCCTGGACTGCAGCCAAGGAATGTGTGTTTGTTGATCCCAGATCAGGTGGTAAACAACACATTGGCATCTGTGTTTATGCTGAGATTACTTGCTGTGGAATCTAATGTGCTATTAATGGAACATTAATGTTAAATATGTTTGAAAAATATGTATGATGATAACCATTCATTCATTTAGTGCAAAGATTAGATTAAACAGTTATTAAATCCAACGAAATTGCTACACCTCGTGATTTACATTCATTCTAGTTCAATTAATTGAATAATAGTTGGGTTTAGGGATTAAGTTAGTGGTGAGGCTTAGTTTTAGGTTTGGGTCATGTGCCACAGTACCATTTTTATAAAGTGTACAAGCATATTCAGAGCTACAGCTATTTGAAGCACTGACATTTCAAGCAACAGCATAAATAAACAGCCATACATCTAAAGACAACTTGAATGTGTACTCTAAACACTCTCATGCTCTTCTCAGGGACCACAATTAAGCACTGGTAAATAATGCATGTCCCCATTGTAGACACATCAATTTGGCACAATGCACTTTTTCAATAATTACTATAGATTAATATAATGAGTGTCCCTGATGCTAAATGCTTTTATTTAAAGCACATGTTTAATGAGTTATGATGTGAAAACTGTTAAAAGATTTTTAACTATCCTAACCCTTCCTAACAGAGGAGTAAAGTTTTGCAAGTGTATGGACATTGATGAGCACTACATATACAGTATTATTTCAATAATGATACTGACTTTATTCAATACTATATCTGACTGAATAAAGTGAATGGTGTAAAGCCATTAAAAAAACATTTATAATAAAATGTTGTCTGAAACCTTTCATCTCATGTTATGCAGAATTGAACCGTGGAGAGACGGCCATGGACAAACAGGTGAAAGAAGCTCGGTCCAAGTGCCGCACCATCGCCTCACTACTGACGGATGCACCAAACCCTCATTCAAAGGGTGTTTTGATGTTTAAAAAGCGCAGGCAACGCTCCAAGAAATACACACTGACCAGCTTTGGAAGTGTTGATGAGGACATGAGGCAAGACTCTCAAGAAGAGGATGGCATATTTCCTGGCAGCGAGTCAGAATTTGATGAGGAAGGTTTCTCTGCTGCACCGGACCCCACATGGGACAGCGACTATCTTGAGATGCTAGAGAAAAGATCTGCTTCCAGAGGTCAGGAAGGAGAGGGTGGTGCTCTCAGTCCTGGTTTGAGTGATACTACTGGGAAGGGGGCACAGTTGTTTGAGCAGCAGAGGAGAAGGGCTGAGGAACATGCAAAGAAAATGGAAGCTGCGCAAGAACAGTTACAAAGCCAAATGCTGGGCGTTGTACTGAAAGAGACACAATCACTTCCTCAACTACAGACACTGCAACCTCAACCACAACCAAACTTATTGACAAAGCCCAATGTCCAGCAACCATCTGTTGCCCCAAAACCTGCCAGACCTTCAAAACCAACAGAAACACAAAACATGACACAAATGAGCCCACCTAAGGCCATTCCTGCTGTCCCTGTTATGGTTAGCAGGGATACTTTAAGCACAATGGTGCCAGCCCCCTCTGTCTTGCCCCAAACTAATCCCTCAGTACCTTCTGCTGAAACTGTGATGGTTCCACCACCAACTCCTCTACCAGAATTACCTGCCAGCTCTGTGTTAAATAGAACTGCCCGTCCATTTGCCCCAGGCTGTGTTATCAATCGGGCAGCCACCGCTCCTGTCGTGTTTCGCCCTGCAGTCAGTAGAAAGACACCCAGACCTGTTTCGGTGGCTGTGGTGGTACCATCAGCATCAGAAGAGCCTGCCAGGGGTGTCACCCCTGTCTCCTTTGTAAGCCAAGTCACAATGAATAAAATGAGTGAATATGTCCCTTCTGAAATGATACCTACACCGCCCTTTATGCCTGGAAATTCTGTTCCTCCTCCTGCTTCTGTATCCATGGAATCGTATTCTCAACCTGCTCTTCACTGCTCCTCAGTGGAAAACATCCAGGTTGCATCAGTGCCAACTCCCATAGTTCAAACTAAAGAACCTACCTTTCTTACAAATGAAAAAACAGCTGTTCCTCCTGCAATCCCTACTGACAACATGGTGACAACTTCTGAGACCCCTACAAGCCCTGTTACTTTGCAGTCTCCAATAGTTTATCGTGAAAAAAACTCTTCCTCTGGTGGCCGCTCTGGTATTCTCCAAGAGTCCCAACGCCGTAGTGCATACAAGCCAATGTTTAAGATACCTGACAGCAAGAAGAACTCACCTAACCCTGAATTATTGTCTATGGTGCAGAATCTAGACGAAAGACCCAGGTGTGTATATTCTGAACCTGAAGATATTACCCACAACATTGATGACAATAGGACAAGGGTCCCACCGCCTGTGGCTCCTAAGCCACGGGTCATCCCAGAAATGTCACAGATCTCTCAAGCAGAGGGAAAAGGTGCAGAGCTGTTTGCTCGTAGACAGAGTCGCATGGGTTTGTTTGTTGTAGACTCTCCACATCTGGAGCCTGCACCTCTACAACCCCAACAATCCCAATCAGTCATAGACTTGGTCCAACCACTGGAACCCTTACCAACTCCATCCCAATGGAAGTATTCCCCTAATGTTCGTGCCCCTCCACCAATAGGTTACAACCCCTTGCTGTCTCCTTCCTGTCCTGTTGGGGTTCAGCGCGGAGGTGCTAAGGTGTCTGAGGGAAGTTTCAAAGGAAGTAAGGGGACTTATGGTTTCCCAAAAGAGGGTATCAAGGTCTTGGACTTCATGAGGCGGCAGCCTTACCAACTGAACTCTGCAATGTTCAGTTCTGGTGGCGGCATTAGCACGCAGTCTTCAATCCCCTCCTACCAGAGGCAACAGAAGGAGGGCCACACTCTGACACCACCCAAGCAGATCCCAGTAAAGGCGGCACGTGTGTATGAAATCAAACGCTTCTCCACTCCCACCCCAATGTCAGCACCAACTCTCAACCCCACAGTGATTGTACCACGCTCACGGACCACGCTTAGTGAACACTTCTCTCATTCTGACCTGAGATCCCCTCCACCTGAACCTGTGACCGAATCAACTTCAGCACCTTTACGGGCCCCAGGCCTCCCAGAGCTCCCCAAACTTTCAGCTGTCCCCATCCCTCACCCCATGCCGTACTCACCCCCAGATCCCATGTCAAGTATGTCAAGCCTAAGCTACTCTGGGTTCCAAGCTGCCAAACAGTTTAAGAGTGCCCCTGAGTTAAGTGCCCTTCCACCCTTAAAGTCTCATATTCAAGTTCCCAAACCTCGCTTTATTGCAACAAGAGGGGGTATCCAGCCCCGCGTCTGGAGACCTGGAACCCTACCTCACTGACAGTATTACTTCATATGCAAAAGAAGCTAAACCATCTGCTTCTGTTCCAGACTCAAAATTACTACTTTGATCAGTGTGATCCAAGTATGATCCATCTGTTTAATATAACTTGAAGAAACAAAGAAATGATATTCTTAATTCATATGAAAATATAGAGTATGTTAACTTTTTTTAGAGAGTGCTTTTCAAAACTTAACTGCAGTCCGTAGCTTTCTTTGGGTTAAAATTATCCAAAATACATGTTTGAGAAAATACATAACCACCCAGTGATCAAAACTCTCTGCTTGCCTTAGCTCGATTCAAAGAGGTAAACTTGTAGGCTAATAATGTTTTTAATTGCTGTGGTAATGGTGGATTTCCGCGGGAGATTTGTGTATGTCTTTGCATCATTACATCACAACTGTACACATAAAGGAGTCTCGGCTTGCGTGTGTGAGGATGTTGGAGGTGGAGATATAGCCTTTTCTCACAGCACTTGATATAATTAAACGTACCAACTTGATGGCGGATTCTGAAAGGTTCAAATGACAATCAGCAGCGACAACAGATTAATCAGCTGTAAAATGCAAAAGACTTCTTTGTTCGGACTTTGGAGTGGCTACAGAAGAAAAGAGACAGCAACCCATGCGAAAACAAGGTGAATACATATCGGAAATACATTACATGTAGTCACGCAATGCTGACGTTGTTAACATTAACAATTTGAGAACAAAGTTTAATTTGCACGGTTTTGCGTGAAATTATACCTACATGCATGCATTTCCCAATGCATGTTCCTGGTCTTAATGTAAACATTGATCTACGTTATGCAAAGAAAAACATTGTTTGGCTTTGTAAACTTATATCAAAGTGTGCCAAATAGCTACTACTCAGGCATTGTTTAGACAAACTCACATTCGGTCTGGCTCCCTATGGTGTGCAATGCCTATTATTCTCAATCCAGTCAGTTACGTTATGTATTGTTTTTTTTTTGTTTTTTTTTTTTTCCTCATTGCTTATCTTGTTACATTTACACATCAGGTTACAGCAGTTAAAAATAGGTCCTAACAAGGTAAATACTAAATGTAATACTATTTATTGTAAAGCTATTGGCAATGTGTCAGAGAACAGGATGAAGAAAAGTATTGTTCATGGATTGAACTGAAATTGAACATGGATTTGACTAAGGTGTTTTAAAATATATCCTTTTAAATTTTCTTCAAGATGTGTGAGATTTTTTGAATTTGGGCACCTTTCACAAATAAAAGTGTCATCGCTTTGCAAAGCCTTGATCTCCTTGACATTTTTAAGAATGGAAAAATTCCCTAAAAAAATGAGACAAGACAAGGCTTTGTTTTGCTCTATGCTATTAGGTCAATCAGAAATGATATCTCTCCTGGCAGAGACTGGACTGAACAGGTGCATGAGGGTCACAGCTTATTTGGTATAGGAGCAAAGTTAACAGTAAAACCAGGCTGGATCTTTAAAATGTGCTCTGGCTGGATGTGTTGTCGTTATATCCCTGTACCTATATTTTAAAGGGGTAAGATTAATGAAAATCTTTTTAATCATTTTTATTTTTAGAAACGCATTCAAGTGGTCAACTTAGTAAGTGTTAGAAAGATGGAGTGTTGGAAAGAGTCCTAAAGACAGACATAGGCTATTTGAGCACTGAAGCAAATCTGTTGTATGAAGACAGGCGTAAAAAGTGCAAAACTAGCACTGTCTTGGATTATCAGAAGGTTTATTAGCCAACTGGCTTTACTAGAGTTAGTCAGAATACTCAAAGCAACATGACATTTGAATGGCATTTGTGGCAGTGAGGCTGATAATTGTGGTTGGTTTTGAATGTGTTCCTCAAAAATATTGCAACGTCTTTAGACAAAACAAAATCTGAGGCCTTGTAACATTAAGGGAACAATGAATTGTGGTTAAAAGAAAGGAAATCCATTTATATAAATGTGTGTTAGATATACAGAGACTCGGAGGGGATGAATAAATAATGATTGCAGTACTGGCAGGAGAGAAAAATTAGTTTTTAAACTGTCTCTTTTTAAAAAAAAAAAAAAAAATGCTAAATTGAATTAGAAGCTGACAAAAAAGTTGAGTAGATATGGTGTTTAAAACCTGAGCCACAATTTTGTTTGTCTCTTCAGTTCGTTTGTTATCATATTTTATTTTATAGACTAAAGTTTTAAATTGTTCAGTTCTTTTAAATTTGGCTGTTGTACAAATCATTTGATCAATTTGTTTGTCTTTGTAAACACTTTGTAGTTAAAGGGGTAGGTCACCCAAAAATTAACATTTTCAGCATTTTCTTACGCTCAAGTTGTTCCTAACATGTATGAATTTATTTAATCCGTTAAAGATAAAGGAAGATATTTTGATGAATAGGGGTTTCCAAACAGTTGATGGATCCCATTAAATTCCATAGCATGAAACAAACAACAATGGAAGTGAATGGAAAAGAAATAAATTCATACAAGTTTGGAACAACTTGAGGGTGAGTAAGTGATGACAGAATTAAAATTTGGGGTGAACTAGCCTATCCTTTTAATGTCTCTGGTGAATTTGTTTTTGCAATGTGTAATGAGCTGAGCTGAACTTTAGGACATATGTGATTCTAACTTAAAGTGTCATGTATTTCTAATACAATCAATAGTTTGAATAAAAACTGAAATTTCACACAGTGTCTCTGTCTCATGTAAGCATCCCAATGCATGTAATTCAGACATGATCCTAATGGTGTGTGAATTATATAAAAAAATACATAATGAAAAGGGCCAAATTCGTTTTCGTTTTCGTTTAATAATCTTTGGCTTGTTTTAATAGTTGATTAATGTATTTAAATTTTAAAAAAAATGGTTCATGCAATGAAGGTGACTAATCACCACATGGTGGCGCATATGTCTCACATTTTATAATTTATTAAGTTACGGGTATGTAATGGAACATGAGAGTGAGCATTTCAGCATTTCTTTTTTTTTTTTAAACACCTGCTGTTATCTCTATAATTTTAAATCACAATAACTGACATTTATATAGTGCCAGTCTATAATCAACAGTCTTTCTTCTAAAACTTAGTAGCAGTGAAGTGTGGTATTGCACACTGTGTTGGTGAGCAGAGCTGAACCTGGCACCACTCTCATGCATATGCTCTCCTCCTATATTTAGGACTGATAATGTTCAGGCACTTTTTATGGCACTTTCCCTATTTAGATTCGATTTTTTAGAGGATCCTTCCTGAATTGACAAAGATAGCGCGATCTGACGAGTTCTCAGGTTCAGTGCATATGATGTGGGTGAGAAAGTGATATAACAAGTCCCTCAGACAGGTGGGAAATGTCTATTCTTTCCGACTAGCAGAGACATTATGGAGTAAAAAAAGAGCATTACTACTAATAATAGTATTTTTTACTGTTCTGAATAATTGTATTATTTTTAATGTATTTATCCATTTCAATTAAAGGTAAAATTCCATCAAATTGAATTGAACAATCCTTACATATTTTAATAATTGATTAAGGATTGTTATCTTATTCAGTTAAAATATGTAAAGGTAATTAAATTCGATTTAACATAATTTTACTATTAATTGAAATATGTAAATCTAAAAAAGGCTTAACATTTTTTTTATAGTGTGTATATATATACAGTATATATAAGGGTAATTCAATTCGATTTGACATAATTTTACTATTAATTGAAATACGTAAATTTAAAAAAGGCTTAACATTTTTTTATAGTGTGTATATATATATATATATATATATACACAGTATATATATATATATATATATATATATATAACACACACATACCCCCCCCCCATGAAGGTTCTATTTCAAATCAGGCCGTCATGTCAAACTAGTGGGATTGCACATGTGCAAATTTGTGAATATTACCACTAATTGTCTCATTCACACTAGAACCATGTTATATTGGACTGAAGTTAGTCGACCCCTCTGAGTGCTTAAATCATTATCATAAAAAGAAATTTAGCACAGGGGGCCCGCTGTTGGATTTAAAAAGTGAAAATCCTCTCACAAGTCAAAGGTGAAGAAGAAAAAGTGCAAATCTACCACAGTCCTTTTGCCTCTTGAAGCTATTTGATAACTATTTGCAATCACTCGGTCTCTCTCCTTCTCTCTATATTTAGCCAAGGAAGCATCTGCAAGACAGATATTAGTCTCTTGATATTCCCATCAGCAAAGTGCTGCAGACCAATTGGGCCCCCCTTATTCCTCACTCCCCCTTCTTACCCGGACTTTCCATCCCCCCTTGAAGATCTGCCATCTAAGTCTCGATTAGATTTTGCACGCCTTGGGTTCTTGGTCCAGCCACACAGGTCAAAGGTACTTTGCCTTTTCCTATTTTCACTGTACCTTTGAGACCACATCTTGTAAGCAGTCTAGAGCCTTGGTAAGTGGATTATGTGATTTTTTTTTTCGGTCACTTAACTAACCGCACACATTGTTCAACTAACAGCTGCATGATGGCAATGAAAACATGACCAGCCATAACTCCTGTTGCTGGTGTGATACCCACTCATAGTTTGCAAGCACTGACAGCATTTTCTCATTGTAAATTTGCATTGATTGGAATAATCTAGCTCGAATGCTCCATTTGCCCTCTGCTTTTTTGTTGCCAGAAAGTGAGAATGTGCTGAACACTCCCACCCAACATGGCTGACGATTTTATATGGAATGCAAAGCATACTGTCCAGCTGGGGGAACTTAAGCCTAGTGGAACCCAGCTTGTGATTATTTTACAGGGTGGGTCAGTGCTTCCCCCTCCTCACCACACATCAATCCTTAATGTCGATTTAGTTTAAGGGAGATTTCCAATTTCTACACAGCCATAAGTTATCGTGTAGGTGTGTTTATGTGTGTGTGTTGGTTACAAATTTAGAGTATCTAACAAAATAAATAAATAAATCCAATGCCACGACTCGTCACTAAAAGGTCTCGCTTCAAAAATAGCCATACTGTATTGAGTTACAGTCTAGTCGATGCAGTGTTTGCCATTAACAGAGCCTTAAAAAATAGCAGATAAACTATGTGTAAGCCATTACAAATTATAAATAGGCCCAAACTGCACTGTAATGGACTTCCATGCTCAGACTTTGAAAGTAGAAAATTAGGTTAAAATTTATTAATTATAACTTTATTTTATGTGGCATGAAAACAACGGAACATAACAATTGAAATAAAGAGATACATTTGGATATTTTTTAGTGTTTGATTGAGATCTGTATGAACTATACAGATACAGATATCATTCAATGCAATGCTTTTAAGTGAGACAAACTAATTAATAGTACAAAATTACACAATTCATATGTATTAATCTAATCACTTGTGCTGTTGATGCTACACTTAAAATGCTGTCACCTCCTGGAAGAGGACGTCATTACGGAATTCGATTTTGTAATTGCAAAAAAAAGACTAACATGTAAAGTGAAATTGTGAAAACACTTGATCGGTTAACAATACTGGTATTGTTTTATTTAAAAAAAATAAAGTTTTAGTGAGCAGTATTACCTAGGAAGGATCCAAACCATAAATAATTTATTTGCTGTTATGAATAGAGAGTTTGCTTTTATGTACTGTAAATGTCATATCAATTGTGTCTGGAAACAGTGTCTGAAAATACCACCCCGAGCAAACCAAACACTATTATGCAAGCAGCATCTACGGATATCTACTGTACTACGTCCTTACAATACGAGGAACGTGAGGTCATTGATATTAAGCAAGTGTCTGTTCTTCCTCATTATTCCTAATGGACTAACCGTGTCAGAATCTGCAGAGTTTGCTCACTACATGAAAACAGTACCTGTTCATCAATCAAAAACTACTGCAAATAGACAAGGATATGTTTTATTATGGTCAAATCCACTCTGATCTCTGTTTTCCCAGTCTGGAATCATGCCTCGGTTAGGAACACCAGCCCCACCCAACAAGAGGAAAAAGCTTTCCAAGATCATCACTGACCTGTCACACATAACCCAAGATGGTGAGACACCCACAATTTGAGCTTTATACTTGATAGTTGGGATCTAGGACTAAATAACTGTTGTTGTTTTTTCTTCCCATCTTTTGTGCTTCATAATTAGAGAGTGTGTTTGTTTAGCCTTCCTGACAGGTGTGAAGGTGTCTTCTTTGAAAGATGTCATTAAAGAGATTAGATTATGAGCGACCATGCCATAATGCAGACAGCATACAACCGGCTCAATCGTCTGCGTAGACAGCCTGTCTTATAAGGTGTCACTTTGAAATTGTTTATTGGGAACGTCATCTTAATTTCAGGGCCTTTCACTAAGGTTTTATGCGTCTGGATTTAATGTTTTAATGAGGAGTAATATGTCAGCGACAACATGTATCTTGTAGATTTCATAGCTGGAATGTCAGCTGTGTCTCTGATTATTACCAGAGCACCTCTTCCTCTCCCTCATCATTATAATCATGGGACACATACTCCACTGAAAGAACATTGCATAAGTGTTTCCAACGGAAAATGAAATGAAATGGATATGTTCCTTTGAAGCTTTGAACGGGAGTGAAAAATTATTGTTGTGAAAGAATGGAAAATGTAGCCAATGAAGTGTGAAGATTGTTGATCCTGGTACATGTTTGTTTTTTCCTTAGGCAGCATTATTTTGATGTGAAGAAACACTTATTCCTTGATAAAGCTATGAGGGATGTTTAATCTAATGCAGAAATAGACTTGATACATTTCTAAATATATTTATATTAACAGTCATGAACAGTTCCAAGGACCTGTGGGTGATTTCCCAGCACAAACAGTGGGTGGTAGGATGACTAATACTTAGTTACTGGTTACAATGCAGAAAAATAGATATATATTTTTTTTCCACAAGTACCACATGTTCCTGGAACCAACATCTTTGATCAACTTTCCAATCAACCAATCAGATTTGAGGGACAAGTTTAGACTTAGAACCAGGGGAAGTACTTAAACATCAGTATTATTCACCTATCAGATTTTAGGAAAAAGTTATGGGTAGGGTTAGGTTTATATAGGACAGGAATGTCGAACAAAATATGTTGATCCAGGATCATGTCTTCCTTGGAAAAATCATGCTGACCCGTGTGTATATACTGTATTTATACGCACACATATATTTATATGTATATATATATATATATATATATGCACACACACACATACATCCCACACACACATATACGATTTGACAGCACTATTATATATTTTTTTTCCTGAAAATAATTGAACGTTCATCAACCAGTCAGATTCAAGCATTCATACACCCTAAGACTTTGACCAGAAAAAGACTTTGACCAGATTTTTTCATTACATGATTTATAAACAAAATATTTCGCAAAATAATGTTTTTTTTTTTTTTTTTTTTTTAACAGAGTATGAATCTGAGCCTGAGGCCTCAGAGTTTGACTTGGGGAAGAAAATCAGGACACCCAAGGACGTCATGCTGGAGGAACTATCCCTTCTGAAGAACAAAGGCTCCAAGATGTTCAAGATGAGGCAGATTCGTGTGGAGAAGTTCATCTATGAGAACAACCCCGACCTCTTCGGTAGTGAGTCCATGGTAAGGCAGAGAGCTCTGAACATCTGTACATATTATTCCTAATATGCCTGTCATTATTCCTAAATAACAGATGTATGTATGTCAACATTCTACATTCATCTCCGATTCTTTATTCTGGTCATTTTCTTATTTAGTATTTAAATTGAACATGATTTGAATTGCTGATTTTGGAAATTGGAAATTCTTCCTCTAATTACCATGTAAATGTGTAAAGGATAACCTCCAGAAGTTCGTGCCCAGCCTAGGGGGTCAGATGATGGATGTTGGTGGCCGGCTGATTGGTGGACAGATGGCTGGTCAGGCTGGTGGGGCCGGCAAAGCACCAGTGCCTCCTCCTAAACCCAGAAGCTATGGCAAGGGAGCAGGGGGTGGGCTGCTAGCAGGTGGGCTCGCTGGAGGAGCGGGAGGGAAGGATGGTGTGTCAGGAGATGCCTCACAGAGTGAGTAGGAACCCAGATGGAGACTTTCATACACTAGCTTGTTCACCCACAATAGAAACTGCCATGGAGACTCACAAGGAAACTTGTGTTAAACAGAATTATTCTCGTTATTTAAAACAACAATTATTCATAAAAATAATGATTATTATAAAATACAAAAATAATAATAATAAAATAAAAAAAATAAAATAAAATAATAAAATAATAAAAAAATAAAATATTAATAAAAATGAGAAACTTAAACTGAAAGAAAATGACAGATCTGGCCTTGGAACTAACTAAAATAAGTTTAAGGTCTAAAATAAATGACTAACTTGAAATGAAAACTGAAACTGAACTAAAACTAAAGCTGCGATAAAAATAAATAAACATACATGGTAAAATTTTAAAAGAACAAAAACTAATAAAAAGGATAAAAGCACATAAACTAAAATAAAAATAATTCAATTTTTGTAATAAAAACTATAATAGTATATAAATGATAGTAAAATAAGACTGTTGTTAAAGAGACAGTTCGCCCAAAAATAAATAAAATTATGTCCTCATTTCCTCACCCGCATGCTTTTTCAAACATGTTTGATTTTACTTCTTCTTTTTTTTGAGCAGATTTTAAAAGACAATATGTGCATGACATATATGAAAAACATCACAATCTGCTTTTTTACATCCATAGATATGAATAAAGAAAAATTATACAAATAGAGAACACTACTTTACTCTGCCCAACCCAAACATCCCATAGAAGAAAAATAATAAAAATTATAATAATCAAATCAAATCTCCAATGAAGGTACAGTCTCAACAAAGGAAAGGATATGATTCCACATTTTATAAAATAGATTAACAGAGTCTCTGATGGAGGGTTTAATTTTCCAGGTGTAGAAAGGACATCAAGTCCTTCAGCCAAGAAAAACTAGGGCATGAGGATTTCCATGTAACATTATTCGTCTGCTGGCTATTAATGAAGCAAAAGCAATAACATCAGCATGGTTATAATCAACAGGTGTTATTCCAAATATTGCAATTATTGGTCCATGTTTGACTTTCTCAAGGTTTCATTTGTTTTTGTCTATAGATTGGAAGTCAGTGAGATCCAGTGTTATTTTGGACTCCATTGACTTTCATTGAATGGACAAATCCAATCATAGAGTTTTAGAAGGACAGAAAAAGGAGTAAATGATGGAAGAGAGAATTAAAATTTTAGGCAAATATCCTTTTAACTAATGGAACACTTTTAGTTATGTGACTTGATCGATCACTTTCAATCAGTTTATGGTTTATTTCTATATAGGTGAGGAAAGTGCTCTGGAAAAGGCTAAAAAGAGGGAAACATATGGGAGGACATACATTTCGCCTTGGGAACGGGCTATGAAGGGCAATGAAGACCTTCTAGCCACAATGAAGGCTCAAATGCCAGGACCCTATTCTTATAAGGAGCTGAGGAAATATAAGAGCTTTAACAGGTGCCGTTGCATTTCTATGCTTCCTATGCATTCTGCAATTGTACTTTATGGTCTCTTTTTTGCCTTTAATTACTAACTCTCAATCTGTCTAGGAGTGCTATGCCCTATGGGGGCTTTGAGAAGGCCTCTCAGCTCATGACCTTCCAGCTGCCAGACATCGAGGTGGCTGTTGAGGAGCCTGAAACAGCAGTGGTGTACCAGCATGATGTCGGCTCACGACCATCCTTTAACCGCACGCCCATTGGTTGGGGGGGTAGCGCTGAACCAGGCAGCATTCACATGGAGTTGGATACTATACCATTTGATGGGGAGACTGATGACCTGTGAACCTACGACCCTAAACAAACCTAATTTATGCCTGTCCTTATTTCCCTGCACTATAATAATCAAAAACACACCTATGCACACATAGTCACAATGCAACAAACTGTAGATCCATCTGGAGGACGTTTAAAATGTGAATGGCAAACGTCTCTACTTGTACTTTTAACTTTGATTCTAAATCTGCATCTGAATGTGAGCTTTGAACGAAGAAATGTGTATGTATTTTTGGAGGAATTGAATGCAGGAATTATATCAACTTAAATGAAGGTGTCAGGTGGAGAATGCTTTGTTTCGCTTGATATTTTGTCTGCATGTTGCACTTTAGAAGTGAACAAATGAGAATAACGTGCCTTGGGCAGCAATGTCCGATTTTCACTTAGTGATGAACTGCTTGGCACACACTGCTGTTTTTCCTGTAATTTAGATAAAGGTAAACAGTTTTGACAGCTTAATCTGGAACCACATATCATCACACTTTTCCATTCATTATAATGTAATTAACATGAGTAAGTACACTCTAAAAAATGCTGGGTTATTTTAACCCAACTTTGGGTCAAATATGGACTAACCCAGCCGTTGGGTTAATTTTTTACATTACATTTTTAACCCAACATTTAGGGTTTGTCCATATTTGACCCAAAATTGGGTTAAAACAACCCAGCATTTTTTAGAGTGTACTGATTATAGTCATGCAAATCATGTACTTATGATTATAATTAAGCTGGAGAACACCAGTATTGTTGTTCTTGCTATATAGTAAATTACTATTAGAACAAGTAATATGAAATGTTAGCACATTAATTATGCACATTAATATACTAATCAAATCTAAACATTAATGCTACTTAAAAAGGGGAGATAAAATAAAAACTCCAAACTGCTGTATATTCACACTACATGCCCATTCTTTAATAAATGATTAATTGCTTATATTTTTGTTGCAGTCTTTTGTGAATATACTGTGTCTTTTGTGACTATAACTAAATTGAGAAGGAAAATAAATAAAAAAAATAAATGCATAAAATAATAAAAATTAAATAAAACAAATTCAATAAATTAATCAGATGGAGCAATTAATTAGGTAATCTGACTCACAAATCTATATTGGCTACTTGTTCAGTTTTTATGTAATCATATCTCAAAACAAATCAAGAAATGTTAGGTCTATAATAATAATAATAATGATAATAACAATAATTATATATATATATATATATTACAACATTATAATAATATATATAATAAATAAAATAAAATTATAACAAAATATAACGAATTTGAATGAAATATCTCAAGTATTTTTAATATAGTTAATATATATATTAATAATAATATATTATAATAATATATATAATATATAGTTTAATATAGTTTTTGGTCAATTCATGGTCAATTACTAATTAAAATATATGTTTAAATTAGGCATATATGTTAAAACTAGTGTAGGAAATAGAAAATGTAAATTATATTATTGAATTTGAAGTAGCCAATCATTTTGCTCCAAATGTTGATATGGAAAATTTAAATTTAAATACATTGCCATTTTACATATTGCATTGCCATTTTTCATATTAAATTTCAAATTGAATATCGCTACCAATAAGCTTCCATATTTCTGGGCCATTCGTACAGTTTATTACATTGCGTAGAAAGTCTGTAAAGGGTATTTTTCAGAAGTCTGTAAACATTAATATTTGCATTTTTTTTTTTTGTCTGATCTGTTATATCTGTGAATCCGTCCATGAGTTTGGCAATATTAAGGAAATCGTTCGGAATGTTTAGATCCTCCTTTCTACGTATGAACCCATGTATTTACATGATGCTCCAACCATCCTACGGCCCAGTCTCCTTGTCGCACTCCGTCGACACCTGAGACGCCAAACATCGCGAGAGTTGGTTGCCTTGGCTGCAGCACACAGTGACGCTGAGGGATGTTTAAGGTTTAGCGGTAGAAAATAACAGATTTTGCCCAGCCGACCAGCCAGGGGGAGGATACACACACCGCAAGGTAAGGAAACCTTTCACCATTCTATCGAAGCAAGTCATCTCGGTTCTTCCGACATAAAAAGAAGGCAGAGAGAAGACGTTTTGCACTCTGAGTTGGGAAGTTAAGACGTAGCTGCTCTTCCACAGGCATGTGCTGATCTAGTAAACAAACATAGGGATGCATCACTGTCAGAACAGATGGGTTTAATAATTTACGCAGTACGGCGTAGGCTATTTCAAATGAGCATTTTCTTTTTATGCTATGCTCCTTCGCGAGTGTTGGATTGTTAACACAGGCATAGTGCGAAGGAGAGACGCGACATCTCACATGCTGTAATGTGCTGACGAAGCTGTGCACACCGTGCGTTGTGGCGGACACAACGAGCGCACCTAGAAGTTCGCCACGTAGTAGAATAACCACATGGTTGAGCCTCGATCGTGTCGATGCATGAATCAGTTCTATCAAATATGGCAAATCATGCATGCATTTTCACATTTTTTATTTGTTATGCCGATGTAACATAATGCAGCCCACATCATAGGGGGAAAAATTGATATTGTAGCCTATATTTTAAGTAATTTATGTCTGACACCGTCTCGTGCGTTTTAACTTGCAAGCACAAAAAGACCATATGCTTCACACCATTTTCAGTGACGTAGCGGTTTCTCATCTTTTCAATACACTTGATTGTCCTCTAGACGCCAATGTCATCTGGTGGTGTTTCAGAGGCTGTGCAGGTGAGAAGCGAGAGACTGAGATGTGTAGGTCATTCAGGTGTGATAAAGATATCTATCTATCTTTCTTGGTTCATTTTCATTACTTTTTCTTTTGTTTTGTTTTTAACAGTTCAGATCCGTGTATTCCTGTCACCTACTGTTCAGGCGAGATGGCAACATCATAAAATCGTAATATCAGCATTCATCACAAAATGGCTGAAGTTTAATGAGTTGGATCAATGATGTGCACTAAAATCAGTTTTCCGCGTGACATGTTACATAAACACATAAACAAGGGGGCGGTGTCTCTCTTAATTACAGGGAAGAGGAGTGATCAAAATAGACACCCCTCCAACCGAAGCTTCCATTTATGTTCTCTCGTCACCCCTTTCTTTAGCCATCTCTCTGTGAAAAGTAAATAAGAGCCCTGGCATGCATGCGAAAGAAGGCCACTAATTGTTATGTAAAGTTTAGAAATGAATAAATTAACATACTGATGGTCACACCTCGAGGGCCTACGCTCCCGTGTATTCATCAGCAGACAGAGCTTTCAGTCTGGCTAATTGGTTGGGGGTGGATGGGATTCCTGTAAATTTCAGGGCTTATGACAGGAAGGGACAGAAAAATGCTTGAGGGTAACTTTTATTAAACTTCTCAAGGTAGAGGAACATTTCAACTGAGTGGGGGACATTCATGTGTAAATGAAACTCTTGTCTTCATTTGATATTAGCCAAGGTCTTTTTCTTGTGAGAGCGGTTTTCCTGCTTCAAGCCCTAAGTTGTGTCTGTTTGCAGATATGCACTCTCATCTCACATGCACTCCTCTCTCTGTATTCACTCTCTGCAAAGGAGACGCAAATAAGCAGCAGTCCATCAATGCTGAATAGAGTTTAACTACAGTTTGTCATAGAAATGCATAAAGAGAATTCTACTATTTCATGTACTTTTTTACATATTATATAGGCTACTTATAAAGTGGCAATGATAATTCTTGTCCTTGGATTTACTCAAAATGATTTGCCTCATGTATTCCCTGTTGCTTTATCAGCATTGGTCATCATCAACTAATCACAGTCTTTTGTGATTACATGTGATTGCAATGATTTGCCGGAACACTTATGGCTGTCTTCAGAAGTTGATAGCCATGTTGATGACTTTTTTTCTCTCTCTGGCTCTATGTTCAAAGTAATTTTATGAATTTGTGTGTGTTCCTGTTTGTTTGTTTATTTATTTTATTGTCTGAACTTGGTTGTACAGCACTTTGGTCAGCAGTGGCTGTTTTAAATGTGCTCTAGAAATAAAAGCCTTACAGACTTATGCTCTCTAGAGTCGATAATAAGTCACAGGTCTTGCGTGCAGCCCAATGGAGAATTCTCAATGTTTTTTTTTTAATGTTTTTTTTTATTGAAATTGCTTACTTAATTTGCACTTTGGGGGTTTTATGATAATACAACTAATATATTTTTTGTGAACAGCCTGAAGTCCAGTGAAACTTTTAATTTGAATGAGATTGACACTGCTGCTGGCATTCCACATGTAGTTGCTTTATTGCTTTTCAGTTCGCAAGTCTCACAGCAGTCAGTCAGGATAAATAATCATGCACATTTGGACTGTTATAGCCAGTCAGTAAATCATAACAGAAACAAACTTGCATACATTTTTATAAAATATCTAAAATAGGTTGGATAAACACCAATAAGTGAGTTGCATATTCGGTTGTGATTGGAACAAAACTCTCATTTGCAAATGCATATGACAGACAGCAGAGTTATGAAATGAATAAAAGCTAAAAAGCTTATTTCACAGTGATACAAATCTTGCCCTATAAAGTATTTATACACATCAAGTCACACTTAAAATGAATTAATTTTATTGCATTGATAAAGTATCAAACAAGTGCAAACTGTCCTCCAAATATGTTTTGGGGCCACTGTGTCTTCATCGTTTTAGGAAATGGCCCCGTGTCAGAGCTTCGCGATTAATTGTTAAAAGATCACGTTGATTCAAACACCCACTCAATCTTATTCCTACATGACAACGATTCACCTGTGCCTATTAAACCTTTGACTTTATCATACCAGGACATTCAAAGCTATGATTGGCATTTCCGCTGACCAAGAGAGAACAGTTATCATGTTGTTTAGTATGCATAAAACCGCTTCACAAACAGTGTTTTCAACCATATCGATGTTGTGTTACAAATATTCAAATTATCTCTAAAGTTTATAGTTCGGATATAAGCACTGATATTTAACATAGTGATCAAAATAGAGCAAATCACCTTTTGAAATTAACTTGGCT